GCCCACCCACCCTAACTCAATTCTGATGATTTTTTTTTACTCCTCGTAAGCTAAGGGGCGGAGCTTAATTGCAAAATCGTTATTATTTCTCTACAAGAAATTACCATGTAAGACATGTTTTTGAGTATCGTGTTATTCAAAGAATACTATGTATGTATATTAGGAAAAAATAGCATCCAAAGATTAAGGCCCACCCATAACTGCCCTTATCACCTGATCTAAATAGTAATGAAGTTTTCATTCGTTGACAGAGCTAGAGGCGGAGCCTAATTACAAAATCCATAGTTCTTTACAAAAATTTACCATTTTAAACGTGTTTTAAGTTTCTAAGAATAAAAAAAAGTCGTCACAATCGAGATGGGGTGGGTGGGCGGGGTTTATATTGTGCCTTTTTTTCTTAATGTACATAGTATTTTTTGAACAAAACGATAAATACTCAAAAACATTTTTTTAATTTCTTGTAAAGAAATAAGTACTTTGCAGTTAAGCTCCGCCCTCTTGGTTCACGGCGAATAAAAAAAAATCATCACAATTTAGATAGGGCGGGTGGGCGGGCTTACATTTTGTCTTTTTGTTTTAATATGTGTAGACTTCTTTTCACTCTATGAAACTTAAAACATGTCTAAAAGGGAAAATTTGTTTAAAGAAATATCGATTTTGCAATTAAGCTCCACCTCATAATTGCAAAATCCATATTTCCTTGCAAAAATGTACCATTTTAACTATATTCTAAGTTTCTTGAAAAGATGGATATGTGTATAGAAAAAAAAAGGCAAAATATAAATCCCGCCCACCCACCCTGTCTCAATTCTGATGATTTTTTTATTCACCATGAGCCAAGAGGGCGACTCTTAGCTGAAAATCCCTTCTTTCTCTACAAGAAATAAAAAACATGTTTCTGAGTATCGCGTCGTTCTTCTGGTTTATGAATCCGCCTTCAGTTTTTACTCCAGGCACCTAGACTTTCGCAAAAAAAATCCAAATTATATAATATTTTACAAATATTTAAACTAGAATAAAAATGGTTCAATTAATTTAATCTAAAATCCCCCAAAAACCAATGTTTCCCATTTTTTAAAAACCGATAGTAACACAAAATATTAAGAAACAAAATGTGACAACTTCTTAGACAATCTCCTGAACTACCAAACCGATTACTTCGAAATCGAATAAACATCCAAAGCTAATCAAAATTTCTCCGTTCGGTTGAGAAAACGGGGCTTGTGGTGGCTACTTTCATGTTTTCTGGACGTTTCATGACCCCTAATGTATGAAAAAATAGGTATCCCATTTCGTTTTTGAGCCAAAGATTAGGCCCCAGCCATGCCCGCCCCGATCTCAATTCTCAATTGTGATGAATTTTCATTCGTTGTCAGATCGAGGGGCGGGGTTTAATTGCAAGATCCATATTTGTCTACAAGAATTTACCATTTCAAACATGATTTAAGTTTCTTGTTCTGAAAAGACGACTATACGTAGGTTAAGAAAAAAGCCAAAATATAAGCCCCGCCCACCCACCCTAACTCAATTCTGATGATTTTTTTTATTCCTCGTAAGCTGAGGGGCGGAGCTTAATTGCGAAATCGTTATTATTTCTCTACAAGAAATTACCATGTAGGTATAAGTCATGTTTTTGAGTATCGTATTATTCAAAGAATACTGTGTATGTATATTAAGAAAAAATTGCATCCAAAGATTAAGGCCCACTCATAACTGCCCTTATCACCTGATCTAAATAGTAATGAAGTTTTCATTCGTTGACAGAGCTAGGGGCGGAGCCTAATTGCAAAAATCCATATTTCCTTAGAAAAATTTACCATTTTAAACGTGTCTTAAGTTTCTAAGAATAAAAAAAAAGTCATCACACTTGAGATGGGGTGGGTGGGCGGGGTTTACATTGTGCCTTTTTTTCTTAATGTACATAGTATTTTTTGAACAACACGATACTCAAAAACATGTTTTTAATTTCTTGTGAAGTAATCAGTACTTTGCAGTTAAGCTCCGCCCCCTTGGTTCATGGCGAATATAAAAAATCATCACAATTGAGACAGGGCGGGTGGGCGGGCATACATTTTGCCTTCTTGTTTTAACATGTGTAGACTTCTTTTCATAGTGTGAAAAGAAGTCTACACATGAAATTTTCCATTTTAAAACATGTTTAAAATGGAAAATTTTTATAAGGAAATATCGATTTTGCACTTAGGCTCCGTCCCATAATTTCAAAATCCATATTTCCTTGCAAAAATGTATCATTTTAACCATATTCTAAGTTTCTTGTTGTGAAAAGATGGCTAAATGTTTGTTAAGAAAAAAAAACAGAAATAAGCCCCGCCCACCCGCCCTATCTCAATTCTGGTGATTTTTTTTATTCGTCGTAAGCCGAGGGGCGGAGCTTAATTGTAAAATCCGTATTTTTCTACGAAAAATTACCATGTGAAATATATTCTTAAGTAATCGTGTTATACAAAGAAAACTAAATGTATTAATTAAAAAAGAAGCCCCACCCATCCGTCTCGGTCCCAATCGTGATGAATTTTTCGTTCGTTGTCAGACCGAGGGGCGGAGCGTAGTTGCAAAATCGATATTTTCTTATACAACTTTACCACTTTAAACATGTTTTAAGTTTCTTGTTGTGAAACGATGATGACACATATTAAGAAACAAAGGCAAAATATAAGGCCCGCTCACCAGCCCTATCTCTATTGTGATGATTTTTTTATTCATCGTGAGCCAAGGGGGCGGAGCTTAATTGCAAAATCCTTATTTCTCTAGAAGAAATAAAAAACATGTGTCTGAGTATCGTGTCGTTCTCGTGGTTTATGAATCCGCCTTGAGTTTTTACTCCAGTCACCCAGATTTTCGCGAAAAAATTCCAAATTATATATATTTTGGGTAATCGAAAATAACCTGAAAAATCGATTTTTCCATTTAAAAAAACCTATAGTACCACAAAATATAATATAATTTGAATAATTTCATGGTTTCTTAACCTCCCACAGCAGTTGCTTCTAAAAAACGAAAATGTAAGTTTGGCAACGAATTAGGCAATCTGCTGAACTACCAAACCGATTACTCCTAAATATTAGACGTCGAAAGCTAACCAAAATTGTTCTGTTTACGTGAGAAACATGAAGTATTGTAAAGGGTTCATTCGGTTAATAGCTACTTTCATGTTTTCTAAAATAACATATTCGTGTACTTGTGGTTCATGAATCCGCTTCAAAGTATTCTCAAAAAAAAACAAATTTTAAAATAACATTAATATGACTCGTATTATTTATATTTTTACGGAATCCACTTCTGTAGACCAACTTTTAAAGCGGCTTTTTTACACTCGTAAAGTTAAACGACATCAGATGATGCCATCAGAATTTTGGTGGGGATAAATAAACAAATTCCACTCAGCCTTTTACCACCTTATATTGAAAATATATTTGCTGACTCACTTTTTACGTCTCTTGGTTTGGCAACATTTGAAATTGGTGCATATTTTTTGTTAACACAACTGGGTTCTCCTAACCGTAAACGTCAAATTTACGTCACGCTCTTGTCAGGGACCGTTTACAAAGCACCAAAGAATGACTTTATCGAACTATTCTCAAAAACTGACACAGGAAATAGTTCAACAATCGCTTAATTAACTTAATAACGCTTTTATAAACCAGCTCTAGCGTTTCATACGAAACATAAAAAAATAATCACAGTCTTATATTTGGTTCTGGTTCCGTTACAAAAAATATAATAGACAGTCGATCAGTTAATACGACTATTAACACAAAAGTTAACAGTGAAACTTAATTTTGTGCATAATATGGATTTCTCAAGGGTCCGTTCTAGTACTTGAACTTTTTTGTCTTTCCGGCATCGACCACTTTAAACTAGGGTGTTAACTGCAGCATGAAAGTCATTTAAGTCACAACAATAAAAAAAATCAAACATTTTCCAGAGTTTGGCGGTCGCAAAATTACATAAACCCGGCCTCCGGCTCGCACGAAGAGGCTTCAGCAGGGCGATTTCGGCTCGTTCTCTTCGCGTGGTGAATGTGGCAAGGCTGAACAAGGCAACGCTGGATTACCGGTGCTGCAGAAGAGCCGGCTGACAAGATACCAGGCAATGACCGCAACGAGAACGTTGAACCGAAGACTCCATTTCACCGGAGCGGCTAATTCAGTTCCGGGATGTCTTGTTTATTTATTTGGGCTCGGAACGGGCGCCTCTAGGACCGGCGCGCATACTTTCCAAATATTCTAGGCACGGCGGCCGCCGGGAGGTGGATGTGAGCGGAATGGAGGAACGGACGAGCGTGGCCCCCGGGTCCGGGCCTGCGGTTCCAGTCTGATGGTTATGCAAGGCTTTTTTGGTGCAATAGATACGCGAAGAGCGGCAAACAAAAAAGCGGCACTAATTTAGAACCGGGGCCAGCGGAAAATGAACCTAATGGAAGGGGATCCAACATAGCGAACTAGATTTTTATTTTCGTGCGGACGCCATACCACCCTGTATATAGTCTGTTCCACCTGTCTGCTGGCAGAAGTTTAGAAAATTGCTCATTTCCTGATGACTGTTGAAAAATGTTTTGACGCAGTCGGATAGAACTCATTTAGATGTTTGTACAACCTGAAATTATTTAATTATAGAGGGTGTTTCCTTGAATGGTTTCACATGATATATTTTAGCATTTCGACATTTGCATACTTAAACCAAAATAAATAAAATAATACAGAATACTAAACGAGTTGTAAATTAATAATGGTGTAATGTGGGTTGCATAACATAATATTTAAAAACTTTTAATATGAATTTTTCTGTTATATACCCAAATATACAAATCTGTTAATGAAGTTGCCTAAACACCAGGCGCCAAATTTGACTATCAACAAGTGCAGGCGCATTTTTTAATGCTAAAATTTTCCACGTACAACCCCAAATTTAACTAAAAAGTGCACAGAATAGGCCTAGTGGTCAACTACCGACACATATTTAGCTACCGTTGTCGAGACTTTAGACACGGCGCAGCTCGCGCGACGCCAGCGCCCCCACCCACCACTCTTATCTGTCAATTGTCAATAACAAACTTTGGTAAATTCGCACAAATAAGCCACATTTTCGTCGCCGCCACCTCATGGAGGAGTTCGAGTGGACCGTCGTCAACGAGGGCCAGCTGCTCGAGTCCATGGTCGGCCACAAGCCCGTCGGTACGTACCCCCCGAACATAACCTCAACAAACTAACCCCACCTAACCTAGGCGTAAACAAGTACTTCCAAATGGCTTTCATCTGTGATAAATTCGCCGAAAACTTCCAAAAAGAAGTAAGTTCCGACAGAGTGTGGGCCCACCTCGAAACCATGTACAATCTCGAAGCGCTCGACGAGAGCGAATCCATCCCGTTCCCCAACAGCGAAAAGGAGTTCGCTTTGCCCGAATCCGAGTTCGGGGCGCTCTTGGCCAAAAAAGACGAGGACAAGAAGTCGCTGCAGAAGGGGCGCGAGACCCCGAAGAAAGAAGTAAAGAAGGAGGAGAAGACTCTGGTGCGGAAGGAGGTGCCGCGGCGGGATAGTAAAGACAGTAAAGAGAAGGCGCCCACGAGTGCGAAAAAAGAGCTAAAAAAAGAGCCGGAAAAGAGTAAGAGTAAAGGTAAGAGTAGTAATAGCACTCCGAAGGAGGAAAACAAGGCGAAAAAAGACGATACGCCGAAACCTGCGAAAAGGCCGACGCGGGGGAGTCTCAAACCAGACGATTCGAGTTCTAGTGGGAAGTCTAGTCCGGTTACGGTCACACCGCCGGCTGCGAAAAGGCGGCGTATTTAAATATATTTTATTATTAAATTAAGTATATTTAAAAAGTGCCTAAATAAAAATAAAGTAAAGACGGTAAAAAGCGATCATCTTTCCAGTCGACAGAAAAATGCGTGCTTAGATTCGCTCGTTCCGCTACGGAAATATTTTTCGTAAAAATCTAGGACTACTGACTCGACTTTGAAGCCGAACTTTTGGTACAAAAACAGGGCCGGGTTGTTGATGGATACGTGCAAGGTGATGTCTTTGCCAAGACTAGTCTACAATGAAATAAAATCACTCATTACTGTAATCACCGTTTTTTTTTCTTTACCTGTATTAAATGGTACAACATGAACCTCCCTATTCCCACGTTTCTCCATCCAGGCCTTGTAAAAATAAAAGATATGTAGTTTTCGGTGTACTTAACGTTAGGTACTAAAAAGGCAAACCCGACAATCAATTTTTTGTACATCACCACGCAGCTAAAGTCAGGGTATTGCAGACATTCGGTTACTGAAAAATAAATATCAAAGGTCATTTGTTTGTTAGATTAGGATTAACTCACGGTCTATCCCTGACCAAAAGAAATTATTGCAGAGACTATTAATAGCAGGGATATGTTCAGGTTGTACATATGTGTAGTCTATAGGAGCTCTAGGCGGTAAAACGTAAGCCCCATTTTTTTCGTTCGCTTTCATTTGTACTTCGGCCATTAGTCGTAACCAGGCGGGAGAAGTCTCACAATCCCGCCGAATGTAAGGTTTTAAATAAATGCCACTGTAAGGCGACAAAATCATTTCTTTTCTTAAGCCACCCATCAGTCTGATTTTCATTTGATTTCCCTTCTGTCTGGAAGCGCCTGAAAATATCCTTATATTGGAATCTCCTTGTTAAAAACACAGTTTCAATTTACTGCTTAATGACGTGTTGTAGTGACATAGAGGATCCAATAGCTGGACTTCCTTCTGCTGGACCTTTGAGGGCTTGCTCCTCACACAATAATCCACCTCAGAATTAGTTTCTCTCTGTTTTAGATAAGACGTCCAGTCATCCCCCAAATTAGAAAAAACGGTCGAATTTTTCTTTAACCTAAAACACGAAAGTCACGACGAACTTAACCCAGAAAACTTACTTTTTAGAGGTGCTTTCGAACGTCGGCAAAATACTTTTGCGTTTGTTGACTGTAAATTGTTTAATACTCTGAAAATACAAATTAGTGAAACGTCTACACGTGTTTTGTGCCTACTTTTATGGTGTCTTCGTCAGACACTTTATCCGAGCCGTCCGAAATTGGCGCCTCCACCATGTACACTGGCGTCAACAAATCCTCGTTTTTCACGTACTTGTGCAAGATCTGCGTAAATAATTCGCCGTCTGAGATGGACATTTTCAAGATTTTGAGCTTCTGTTTTTCGTTAGTGAACCCCGAATCTACAATAAAACAAACAATAAAAATTGATAACCCCATTTGTTGACGTACACAAATTCGAAATGACATTTGGCGTCAGTTTGGGGTACGTCAAAGCCCACCACGCCGGCTCGTTCATCACCGAAGTCCCCGACTTGAAAAAGTAAGTACTGAAATGCGACAGCGTCCCGGCCACCGTCCCCACCCATTTTTTCTTCTTTTTGCTACAAAACACCGATCACTCACTGCCAAAAAACCCTCTCTACTCACAACTCCTTCAAAAAAAGACTCTCCCAGTTCTTGTCGATGAGCGACGCTACGTGGTTGCGCCAGTGGAAGTACCCTTTCCTGCCCAAACCTGGACTTCTTGCCTGCAGATGGTACAAAACCAGAACCAACACCTTCAACCTAAATCAAGTTATAAATTTGACAGTCGTGTTTGGGCGGCGTTACCAAGACATCTTCTCTCTGACGAACTCCTCGGCGTTCGATTGGGAGCAATCTTGGCACGTGAAGGTGAAAAAGATGTCACCGTGGAGACCGCCAGGGACGCCCCCGTTGCGTAGGCACCGAAGGTGCACATTCTGCGAGCACGAGGTGCAACTGAGGCCTTCGTCGACGCAGTCCTCGAGCTTGTTGGGGCAGTACTTGCAGAATTTCGGTTCAGTGCTCATCGTGGGGCCACGGGAACAACAATGACATAACCTCACTTAGTCACCTGGTACGAGACTCGGGGTGGGGGTGTCGTGTGATTGGTTACTACCGTTGCTATGACAACGGTGACCAATCAGACGACAGATGGGTTTAAATTGATTGTCATAATTATTTTGAAATTTTATTTTATTATTGAGTACGTATTTACAAAACTAATTTAGAGACAACAGTAGTTAGTCTTGTGAGGGCTCAGCAGTCACCGCCTCCCTGTTTTCGTACGCCCAGAACCTGTGGAACTCGATCAAAATACTGACGAAAGTGTCCCCCTGCCCACACGCAACCAAGTCGTTTAGCGTGATCCTTTCCGGGTTTTTCGGCCTCACCATGTCGAATAGCTCGTCTTTAACATCCTCGAAAGACACCGCTTCGGCCCCATGAGCCCTCATCTGGTCTTGAATAGCCCGGAAAAAATAGTTCAAAGTGAAAGCGTCCAGATACCCTTGATTATTAATATCTAGAATGCGAAACAAAAACGCCAGAGCTTGCGGTTCGGCCCGATTTTCCAAAGCCAGGACTAAATCTAGATACGTTTTGTAGTCCATTTCGCCCGAGTAGGTCAAAAGTGTCTGGAAAACGCGGTCCAGGAAGGGTTGGGTGAGAGTCCCAGAGCCATACCCCGCCAACTCGGTTTTATTCAACATGCCGTTGTGGTCTCTGTCTAAATTCAAGTAGTGGCCGTAAATTCGCAAAGCTGAGGGGGCGCTGAACCAATTTTGCTCTTGTAGCTCTTTACTTAATTCCTCGTCTCGTAGTTCCAGTAAATCGTCGAGGAATGAACAGGCGAGGATGTCCAGGATTCGGACTCGGCCTGCGCGGACTCCGTCTAAGAAAAACAAAAATTTGCGGACTGCGGTACACACGTAGAAGCTATAGAAGGATTTCTCGAGACCCTCGAGCTGTGGTAGCGTTGGTAATAATTCGGTGATGTAGTTCTCTAAGTCGATTTCTGTTAAATAACCTTGTCCTGTGCTATCATACAGCGATAAACCGATGCGGGTTTGCTGCAGCCACACTTTTCTCATCACGTAGTTGAAGAGCGACATTATGGATACTCTTCCCTGGGAGTCGCCTTGTTGGAGCTTCGCGAAGACTATGGACGTGAAATAGGGCTTCACCTTGGGGCTTACTAAAGAACAGACTTTTTGGTAGTCAGCGTAAGTGATTAGTTGTTCATCAGGGTAGCTCTGGTTCTGGTCTAGGATCATCCACAGCTCTCTCAATTCGTTGTTATCCAAAAGATTCTGGCTTCTGCGTTTGAGCAAATTGGAGCGGCTTTCTTCCCGCAGTTTTTGGCGAAGGGGCTCGTCTTCTTTCGGGAGTTTGTTGTAGAAACGGGGGATCCCTTTGTTTTCGTCGGGGGGTTTCTTGGTGAGGTGTTTCATGTGGTTTTGGAAATGTTCGTCTTCTAGTTTTCGTAGTTCGTCGGGGGTTTTCTTCAAGTCTGTTTGAACAGAAATGTCACTATTTATGTATAATTAATATGTAGAAATCCAAAATGTAAAAAAATGTTTCAAGGTTATGTTTATACCCAGTTTCTTGACATGCAATACCAAATCGTATTATGTTTTTTTTTTTACAAATCAATTTCTAGCTATTAATAAAAGTGTGCGTTTGTGAACAAGTTATAAAGCAAACAATTATTAGGAAATGATTTTATTAAAACTAATAAAATTTAATATCGTTTCGAATAACAAAAAACCTTGATGAATGAAATAAAAAATTACTCAAGGGCAGTCACCATTTATTTTTTTTTTTTAATTCACACTTACCCGAACTTTTTTCCACCTTGTGTCTGAGTAGAGTTCTCAAATCCATCGTGTTACCGCTTTGTTGCTACACTTATTAGAATAAATAAAAATATAAACGGTAAACTAACCATGAACTTCGACGTCAAACGTCAACCTCAACAAATGTCAACATTTTCAAAAATGTGGTATGGAAGTGGTTAAAACTCCGCCCGTGCTCGCAAGAAAGTGCAATATTAATGTTCTTTACGATTGTGTGTATGTGAAAACCCGTGAAACGACGTAGTTGTGATCCTGCGTCTAATTGTGGCTTTTTGTTTCGGTTTATTTGAAAAAATTCCTGCGGTCAAATTTGGTCAAGTTCGGGCGTGCCCTCAACCACCGCCGCATTCCATTCCACAAAACGATTTGCGCCACTGTGTCCTTTTAAATAAATTGTCAAATGTTAATAATTGCGCCCCAAATCAGTTCAAAAACAAGTGTAACCCCCCACGGAGGGCGTCATCTCCCCGCAAAAATATTATGAAGCCTTGGAATCTCCCCGTTTGAAATCCAGCAGCAGGTGTTAAAAGACCATTTCAAGAATGAAAGGAGGTTAGGAATGCGGGCAATCGCCCAAACAAATCCAGCCGAACAAGTACGTAATGCACTTAATCCGATCAAAAATCCAGCCCTCACCCCTTTGTTTGCAGCATGCGATGATTCGTCCGGAGTCATGGCAGAATTCTTGCCATTATGCGACCTCCTCTTCAACGTAGTCTCCCTCGCTGCATACTTCTGTGATTTGGTCTTCGACATCCTCATGGTCTACGCCTTGTACGAGCGCGGCCTCATGCTCCTCTTCGCCCAATGCCTCGCAGCCATCGTCGTCACCACCCTCGTCACGCAGATCCTCTCCCTCCACTGGTACCTCTCGAAGAAGCCCTCGGGGCTGCCCAAGCTGCTTGTCGTGCTGCTGCACGTCCTGCAGCTGGGGGTACTGTGGCGGTACGGCCGCCTCCTTGTACCTGTTCATTTGTCTAGTGTAAAGCGCGAAGTCCGCGACTTGTGTATATTGCGGCTGGTGCACGGGTTCCTGCAAGCCGCGCCCATGCTCCTCCTCCAGCTCAGCCTCCTGCCGGGCACCACCCAGGGCCCGCCCTCGAACCTCGTCACGGTGTCGGCGGCCCTGTCGCTCTTCTCCGTGTGCTGGGCGCTCGCCTCCTTCAGCAAACATGTACAAAGCGTCGACAGGCTAGTCCTTACGTGGCTGGGGGTGGTGTCCCAGCTGCTGTGGAGGGCGGGCACGGTGACGGCCCGCGCGCTGGCGCTCTCCGCCTACGCCGCCAGCTACCACTCGTGGGTGTTCCTGGTGCTGGCCTTGCACTGGGCCTGCATGTTCCTGTGGCTGCTGTCGCCCCGGAGCCCCTTCCACGGCCAGAGAGGCCGCAAGCTGGGGGTGTGCGCCCTCATGGCGGCCATCTACATCCTCGCCTACGTCAACCTCCAAGAGAAGCCCCACGGCCGCACCATGACCATCTTCTACGTGGTGATGCTGCTAGAGAACTGCCTCCTAGTGGGGGCGTGGTTAGCGGCGGTGTGGCAGCTCCGCCCACTGCACTGGGAGCTCGTCCCCATCCTCACCATCGTGCTCTTCGCAGCCGGGATCCTCTTCATGCTCTTGTACTACAAGTTTTTTCACGTCAAGAGGTTGCTAGAAAAGCCGGCGGCCCCACCCGGTGTGTTCAACTGTCGCTTCAGCAGCCCCTCCACCGCCCTCTACAGAAAAAAGAAGAAGCCCACGAGTTTCGTGCCGCCCCCAGGCTTAGGCACGGTGGCGGTGCCCTTCTGGAGGCGGCCTCTGCCCTCGTCGAGCGAGAACGAAGGCAGCAGCGTCGGCTCCCGCGTCAACATCCACCAGAAACTCCAAGAGAAAAAGCAGAAACAGCTGGCGGAGTTGAAGATAATCGAAGAGGAGATCAAACAAGGGAAACTCGTGGGACCGGAAGGGGCGGATCTGGATGATCGACAGCCCATTCCGAGGGCGAAGCGCCACGTGGAGCCTCACTTGCTCAGTTTAGCGTCTTTGAACAATTTAGCTAGTTACGGGGTGAATTTGAATAGGCGGCCGCCGCCGAGGGCCCCCAGGAGCAGGACTCCGGAGCTCTTGTTGGCGCCGAGGTATTTGTACTGCGACTGCATTGTGCCCCCGGAGCCCGAGAACGTGGAGCTGCCGGGGCCCCACGCGCCGTCCGATCTGGAAAGTCAAGTTTCGCTTCCGAGGTCCTATACTCTGCCCAGGGAGTTCAAGTACTACAGGAGGCAGAGGGCCGGCAGGCCGATACAGACTGTCGCCTCCACCAATAGCAGCGACGGGGACGTGGATTCCGCCGACGACGAGTCGGACTGTAATCCGCCCCCGGCGATGGTGAGGCAGCTGAGGAGGCCGTTCAGGCACGAGACCAAGCTGTAAATGAAGCTTGATTCTGTATATTATTTTTGATAAGGATTTACACTTTTTATATGTATTTACTGTTTACAAATTTTATGCGTAAGGTTTTGTACTTAAATTATATTTTTATATTGTAATATTTATTATTGTACATCATTATTATAACTATATTTCTTGATTTTTTGTATTTTTTCAATGCTTTGTGTCTGTCGCGTAACAAGATACTTGCATTTTCGTTCTCTGCCAACTGCATAGTAATTACGAGTTATGCAACCCATTATACCCGTCTAATCAATAAGTGATAAATAAAATCTTCAACACTAATTATTTAACAAACAACTATATTGGACTCATGTTCTTTGCAATTTTCATGTTCCAAAGCGTTATTGGAGCCCCCCTTTTTCATTTGTCACAAATTCCTTTGAGTTGGTGAGTTTTGTCTGAGGTTGGTACTTCACAATTAGTAACCATGAACATCAAATAAATGCACTTATTGCACTATTAGGTGTCAGATTTCAAAATTAAAAAAGGCATGTTCAATTATAGCAAAATCGCACCGCTTTTTCTCAAGTGGTATTTGCTCACTCAACAATTCTTAAATTAGGAGTATTAGGACACCCACTTTAGGTTGGCAACGACGTGGGTGACATGTGTCAAATGTCAATTAATTGGGTAACCTTGAATTTATGTCCACGCAAATTTCAGTCGTCCTCGGCAATAATAATGTAGTAATTAATCGTAGACCCAAGATTAGTGGCAACGATGTCGTCGTCAGACGTCTATAATGATCTAACTTTGTAAGTCACTCTTGACAACCCCAAACTCTTATCCAGACAGTCGTAACAAAGAAGACAACTTGTAAACGAAATCTACCATTTCAGGCACGTAACCCCGGAGAAGTTCTACATAGAACCGAAAGGCACAGCCGATCTCTTAATAATCGACCGTCCATCTGAAACCATCTCACTACATCGAAACGTGGGCCAAATCCCCGCCACCAGCAGTCGCAAGGACTTCTGTGGCCTCCTCGGCTCCATCAAACTACTAGCAGGCCGTTACTTGGTGATCGTAACCCAACGCGAACTCGTAGGCTATATTGCGTCTCACGCAATATGGAGACTAGCGAAAGCCGAACTGTTGCCTTACGCCAGAAGCATGCTGCACTTGACCCAGGAGCAAGTCGCCGATAATAACACCTACTTGAACATGGTGGAGCAAGTTTTGTCCACTCCGTACCACTACTTCAGCTACAGCTACGATCTGACGCATTCCTTGCAACGACTGCACGGCTTCGGCCCCCATTCCTGGAAGCTGTCTCTGCTGGAGAGAGCAGACGCGAGATTCGTCTGGAACAAGCACCTGCTCTCACCGTTCAAACGCCCCGAATTCCACCACTTCGGCTTGCCGCTGATCCACGGCTTCATTTCCATCAACCAATGCGTCATCAACGGACAAAGTTTCACATGGTCGATCCTTTCAAGGCGCAGCATTTACAGAGCGGGGACTAGGTTGCACCGCCGCGGCGTCGATAAGCACGGCAACGTTGCCAACTTCGTGGAAACCGAACAGATAGTGGAGTATCAAGGCGACAAAGCCAGTTTCGTGCAAATCAGGGGCTCCATTCCGTTATTCTGGACGCAGTCCCCGGATCTGCGATACAAACCCCCGCCGACTGTGCTAGAAATCGACCCCCAGGAACACCAAGTCGCGTGCCAGAAGCACTTAGAGATGGTGGCGGTTTTATACGGCAAACAAGTCTTAGTGAATCTCGTCGATCAAAAGGGGGCTGAAGGCCGACTCGAGAAAGCCTTCAAAGACACTCTCACGACTTTGGCGTACCCCAGCGTCTGCTACGAACCCTTTGACTTCCACGGAGAGTGTCGCAAAATGCGATGGGACCGACTGTCGATTTTGATCGACCGGTTGGCGCACGATCAAGACGAAATGGGGTTCTTTTTGATGCTGCGAGACGGCTCGTTGTCCAGTCTTCAAGAGGGGGTTTTCCGGACCAACTGCGTGGACTGCCTGGACCGGACTAACGTGGTCCAGAGTATGTTGGCGCGCCGGAATTTGGAGATTGTTTTGCGGAAGTTGAATATTTTGAGCCGGAATCAGCGTCTGGATCCGACGAATTCGTTCGAGGTGGTTTTTAAGAACGTCTGGGCGGATAATGCGGATGTTGTTAGTACGCAGTATTCGGGCACGGGGGCGCTGAAGACCGACTACACTCGAACCGGTAAACGCACAAAACTGGGTTTGCTTAGAGACGGGATTAATTCGATGACGAGGTACTACAAGAATAATTTGTTGGATGGGTTCAGACAGGACGCTATTGATTTGTTCCACGGGAATTGCGGGGTTAAGTCTCCGTTGACTGTGGATAGGGGCTGGAGGTATATTACATTCCCGTCTGTGTTTCTGATGGCCGTGGCGATGTTCGTCGCTTCGGCTGTATTCCCGACGGAGTATTCGACAGAGTCTCTTTTGTATTTGTTGTTTTGGGGGTCCATGGTGACGGCTACTGCGTACACGATATTTAGATACGGGAAGGAATTCGTCGATAAACCTAGATTAATGCAAGCCTAGCCATTCTAGTCAACTTCCTTATTAGTTATACAGCTTTTATACGGTGTATGTGTATATTTTTTATTTTTAATCATGTTTTAAGTCATTGTTTATTTTCTTTAGATATTATTTTTACATTTTGTAGAACTTAGATAATATACGGAGTTGAGAGTTAAAACACGTATTGCTTACACATAGCTCTCAAAAACGTACTCTTGCGTAAGTTTGTCGCTTCTCTTTGTATCTCTTCATTGTTATTCGAGTTGAGTTCCAACGAACCAATCACCTGCGTTGAACACTTCCGTCTCTGATACTCCCCCCTTTTGTTGTGAATGTGTATAAGATACTCTAGGATATTAGTATCCCAAATGCAGTGATAATATGCATCCACAGCATCATTACAATACTTTTGTTCTCCAAGAATCCTAAAAGCCAAAACGTAGTCAGGTTCTTCTAAAAATTGACACAAGACCGCAGCTTGAGTATTGCACCCCAGAGCCACGCAACACTTGATCATCCTCCTAAACACGTGATCGTCGTGACGTACAGGAATGTTAAAATAGTCATTGTAGATCAACAACGACTTCAGATAATAATTTAGCGAGACGTTATAGTGGCCATTTGCTGCAAAAAGTACGAATAAAAATTGTGACAAACACTCTGTATACTTACCGAAATTTATGTCACCCATCAGTCGTAACCATGGAATGTTGGTGGGGTAATACTGTAGAGCTTGGGTCACCATTTGGGACAAAATGTCGTAAGCTATCTTCATGCTGTACGAATTTGCGCTAAAAGTATGCTTAGTGACCAATCCAAGCTTGAATAAACGAAACTCCGCCCACTTACTTGCTAATGACAGCAGGCCACAACATGACGTAGTCGACTTGCACCTCCAAGCTAGTTTCGTCTTTAAGAATGTTGTGCAGTCGTGCCAACATCGAAATAACGACAGTGAGCACCGTTGAATCCCTCAGTTTTGAAAATATGGCCATTATGCTATTTTTTAGGTTGGTTATTTGGACGTGGGCGTCGTGGAAAACTGAGTTACCAGAGTTGCCACGTTTCGACTGTGGTGGCGGCAGACTGAATATTGGCAACACTGCAACAATATTTTTTTGTGTGTGTCACTGTTACGATCACGATTTTACCGATTTCCCAGAGGTTTTTCGACAATTTTTTGTTGCCTTTGTGTTTAACCAACTCCTGACAAGCTAAAGCTATGGCGGAGGTTATTTCAAACGACTGCCACCTTTTATCGAAATTTACTAAAAATTCCCACCTGCCTAAGTTTAGTAAACATAGTACGCACTGTTCAGTTATTTCGGTTCTAGGTAATACTGACTCGTTGTTGGTTTGTAGGCAAACTTCACAAGCATTTGCGAGCGCCATCTTGTCTGAAATTCGACACTATAGGGTGAAGTTAGGGTCAAATTGATGCGTTACCGATGGTGCTTTTTGGCCACTCCTCCAACAACTGGGTGATTTGAACCAACAAAATCTCCCAACTGATCAGTCTGGACAACTTACCAACGTTACCATTACCAGACCCCAGTTCTTTGTCCAAAATAAGCATCAATTCTAGCGACGAGTTCCACACTTTGTTGAACATTTGCTCCCTGGCTTTAGCCAACATTACAAACGCGAAATCCTGCAGAAAACCTACAACTTTTAATTTATTGTTGTGTTCACACCTGTATTTTTCGCACCTCTGGGTAAATTTTTTAAAACCGACTGTATCGGAATCGGCAAGTCCCACTGAGGGTTGATGTTCCACACGCTCGTAGCGAACTGATTAGTGGTAATTTTTTTCAACAAGTCCCGGATTTCTTTATGGTCGTACGTTGCGATTAAGTCTTGTTCCAGTTGTTTGATTTCCAGTTTGGGTTTACCTGCAGTGTGCATTTCGTGTAAAATTACTTTACAAGTGCAAACTTACGTTTTTTTGTACAATCGTACAAAGTCCAGCTCGTTCTGTGCAAAGATTCCGGTATTTGTATTTCCAAGTCGGAATTTTTAATATATTGAAGGTCGCTCTTGTCAAACATTTTTGAAAGCGTGTCGCTGGTTTGTATACACGGAAGGAGGTCCCCGATTTGGCGCTTCAGCGCCAAATCCAGCAAATATTTTTTCAAAAGTTTGCGGTCTGCGTCGTTTAGTGACTTGTATGAAACGTCAAACGCCTGAAATGTCATAAGGTGAGTGACGTAGATGGCGCTGTTTTTGTCATAGTTGGCTTACCCATACTAAAATTTCCGTGTTTTTGACGGACGTCGCCGAGCTGTGGTACGTCGATTTTTGGTCTAGGATGCATCTGACGAGGTTTAGGGCCCGGATTTTGTACAACAAGTCTTTGGCGACGGTGAAAGTGCCGCTGGAGAGAGCGCCCTGGATGTTTAGTTCTAAACTGATGCGGTGTGCTAGGGGAATTTCGCGGTAAATGTTGTCTTGTTGCAGGATTGTGGTGATGCCCTGTAACAATGACGTAAATATGGTGCCAACCTAAACAAAAACTCACCATGTACTGGTTGACAATTGACAAGTTCAACTGTTCTAATAAGTTGCCTTTGGGGCCGTCTGTGGATCCGTTGCAAGCCCTAACGTACACTTCTAGCACGTGTATATTCAAAGTAACGAAACCGTTACTTTCGTGTATGCTTTTATAGCTACTCAAACACTTCTGGAAGTGGTCCCTAGCCAAATTGTAGTCTTCTTTGTAGAAAAAGAAAGTCCCTAAGTCGTAATTGACTTGCGCTGAGAATTCTTCTTTAGAAATAATTTGAGATGAGGACCACTCGAATTCCAAGTCGTTGGTTTCTGTTGGTAGTTTGAAACAGTCAAAAGTCAGCATGCTGGGGATTTCAGTCCACGTTAGCGAATTAGTTAGGAAGTCTACGGTTTTTTTGACGTTTTCGTGCGAGCAGATTATGTTTTCTTCCGCTGGAGAAATTTCTGTATTTCTGAAAAAACAATTGAATGGGTGTCAACTAAGACAAATTATTACCCCATGCGCATTTGCCAGTTTGACGTGATTCTGTGCATCGTGACGTTGAGCAGCCACCGATGGTACACAACTAGAGCGAACAAATATGGAGGAGGAACATTCTCGTGGTCTTCTATGTCGCCGATGTTTGGTATTTCAGCCACCGTTTTATTATTTGCAAAGTATAGCAAGTCTTGCAAGAGGTGGATCTGGGTCTTGAAAGGTAGTGATCTGATGTGGGCTACAATTAATTTTGGTTTATAAATGAGATGAGCAATGTTGTTGTGTACCCAAGTTCCACTTGATGAAAGCTGCCACTTTCAACGACAGGATTTTCAGGGCTATGTTTTTCGCGGGGTGTTTCATGTTGTCTTGCATGGACTCCACTACGATTACTTCACCATTGTCGGCCTCCAACCGGTTTCGCAAGGTGTCGGAAATGGCATCCGAGAATTTCGAAATGAGCTCCGTGGGGCTGGGATCTTGAAATTGTGTCAATGGTGACTTGTTTTGTCGTATTGTTAGTTTATTCGTACCTGGTGAGGGCTTCTGCAGGTGGCTTAGAAGGAGGTCTTGGTGGAGGAGGAACTCGAACCACAGGATCGTATCAGGGGCTATGGGGACGGTCCCCGGTCGCAGCAAATCCACGTCCATCGCCCAAATTATTTTGTATTTTGTAGGTTATGTTTATATTGTTCGGTTGTCACTTATCAGGGGTACCACTCCCGCGCCAAAGTCCCCGCTTTTTTCAAAAAACGTGTTCTTTTTCATCCCGTTCTTCAGGTTTGCTTTTTGCTTTTATTCGACGACCCATCCAAAAATGGTAAAACCGCCGCAGTTTGGGTGAGCCGCTGCGTCGTTAGGTCCACTTTCGCCCCGCAGCCGTCCCTAATCCCGACCTAGCCCGCTTCTAAATCCGAAATAGCCCTGGTGGGCGGCACTCGCCTCCGGGGGCAGCGAAAAATGCGTGAGTCAAGCGTCCTTGAGCCGCCATCGTGTTCGTGTGGTTGACGGGTGACAGCGCGAAAAAGTGACATATTCGTGCGAGGTCGGGGTGACTTGGTGGCTTTTTGTGCTTGTGCTAGCGTTCCGAGTCGATTCGAATTTGGCGCCGCGTCACGCTCTACCGTCCCGCTATCTGGCGAGCATGCGAGGCACCTGTCAGTTCGGTCGTGTGATATGCAGAAGGTGTGACTTTAGCGTGTCTTCGCCGAAATTGATGTAACAAACAGAAATAGCCGCATGGTGATCGGATCATAAACTGTCGCGGTGGTTTGAATGGATCCTTCGATTTCTTGGCTGCAGCCGGAGCAAGAGGGTCCTGCCAAACTTTTGTGGCTTCGAATTTGGCAAACGCAGCAGGAGCTGGACAGCATGAACCTGAAGGACGTCGACAGCGACACGGAGGCCTTCCCGAACGGCTACCCCAACCACATCATCAACGGCAAGACGGACAAGAGCGGCTCCTTCGCGCAGAGGAGACGGAAGGGCGACAATCGCGCCAGCACCAAGATGATGAGCAGACACCCGCAGAAGGTGGTGGGCGAGTTCGGGGGCTGCCCGTGGCGAAGGGACAACTTCCTCTACAGCAAGGGCATCATAGGGTGAGCAGGGGCCCCGGAACGCCGAGTTCTAGACTTTCCCCGATCGCGGTGGACGGGATCGGCCGCCAGAGGGCGCCGCGGTTTGACGTTTCGTAAAGCCGGCTTCACGCGGCCGACGCAAACGCACGAAAAAATTTTCGCGTTTTTTACGACACGAGGAAGGAAATGCCGGCTTTTCCGCCTTAAAAAAAATAGACCGGTTGTACGTGCGTTCTATCAATCGTTGAAATCATTAAACAGTGACGTTGTGGTGCGTTTACAACCACCGATTAATATGTATCGGTAGACGATGCAGAAATGCAATAAAACAACTTTCCGGGTGTGGTAACATAACGAAAAATAGAACTGAAATATTTATTGATCTTCAAAGATTACCTAGAAATGGGAGACCTACTTTGTCACACTATGGGAGCCATTAAACGTCATGAAATGTCTCGGAGTTCGAAAGCTCATTATTGTAATATCGCTGCTCTATAAAAACCGAGTTTAATGACAGGTTGATTACTATACAAAAATAAACTCGTGTTATCAAGCAGTTATCAGTACTGTTTAAGGTCAAGTGCAATGATCCTTTTAAACTATTTCGATTATTATATAAACTGACACTTCGGATTTTAGTTGCATAACAAAAATCACTAAATGTGTTCAGTGACTCTTTAGAAATCGGTTTTAGGAAGACAAGTCGTGAATGCTCCACTTCTTACTTACCGGTAGAGTAATTCATCTCGAATCAAATTATGTTTTAACCTACTTGTTTCAGACTCGACTCATTTAACTTAACTTTTAAATGAGCTCTTACGTTGATCATGCACCAACGAGAAACTAGAACGAGATTTGGAGATGTTCGGTCTACAGTCGTTTCTAGATTTGTGGTTTATTGTTTAATCTGGTTATCCGCTTCACCGCTCATTATAATTGATGGAAATTAAAAAACGTGGAGAGCAATTATCCATTTTTTCTCGCCTGTAATACGTAACGGGGAAACCCGAAAATTCGTTTAAGCTCGACTCCGACGCAGCAGTGGCCGGTATATTGTCGCTCTCACAGGTCTTTTAACCAAATTTTGCTTAATCAGCTGTGAAAATCCAATAAGACTTAAGTTATTTACCTGAACGGTCCGAGCACAACGCAATCACAAACAAACAATAAGTTATTTTCACGTTATAGCATCAGAACCCAAGGGATTATTCGATTTTCGCGGAGGCTGCTACGTTTATTTGGTCCTAATTGGGCGTGAAGATCCAATTATTGTTTTCAGTTTGAGTAAATAGTTAATCAATGAAAAGCGACTTAAACTGATTTTAAATTTTGTTGCAAAATAGTGACCTACATGTTTCCTCATTAGTGGTGAAGTAAATTAAACTAATAATAATAATAATGATAATAAAGTGTGCTATTTGCGTTAATGACCGTTTTGAATTTAAACACCGTCCAAAACTCCATTGTTAATTGCACGTTATCAACGAATAATTATAGTAATAGACGCGGGCATGAAAATCGCCGCCGATGGGTTTCTGTCGGTGTTTCGGCCGCTCGGGGACTAGATTTCATCAGTGCATCGTCATTACGACAAATCGTTGCCTTTAACGTCGAATTCTCGCCGCATAGCTGGCGATGGTTTTAATTTCTTTGATCGTTCGAGCGTGTTCGACGCCGCATTTTTGTTCTGATGTGTACTTTTATTTCCCGGATAAATTCGTAAAGCGATTCATCGTTCGTGGTAATTTTTTATTCCGACTTGTTAACATTTTCGGAAGCCAATGTAAATATAAGCTCGGCCGACGCCTTGGCCTATATCAACCGTCCAGTCGATGCGATTCTTTGTTTCTTAAATAATATCGAGTGGAAAGGTAAGGCGACGAGTGTACGATCTAACGACAGAAAATGCCATAATATTGACCCGTGCTGATTCAAACATTTATGTAACTCGGAAAAATAAAAGTGTTAGTCACGGCTCGAACGGTGCGAGTGGATAGTTTTTATTTTAAAGGGGCTTGAATTTATTGTTAGGTGTTTGAATGGAGCGTGGAGAGGAAAATTTTGGCAGAATTTCCTGAATCTCGTCCAGTCAGATTTATTTTAATTGAAAAGAGGTTACTGGCAAGAAAATTTTCGCCGAAATTAAAAAATTAACTAGGTTGTTCGGGAGTTTAAAATACAAGTGGCAAAATCGATCGAAAATGTATATTTGCCTCGTTTGCACTGTTTTCTCGATTTTACTTGTATTTTTTTAATGAATTTTTTTAACTAATTTGAACGTGCGAATATAAGCAAAAAGAGAAATTTATTTATTGCAAGAGAATTTGATATTTCGATTTTGCTGTGCTCATCTAAGTAAAATTATGTCACATCAAAAAATATATACAGGGTGAATCACTCAGCGCGGTCTTCGATATCTCATTAATTATTAGAAATGGAAAAAAGTCATATATTTTTTATTTCAGTTTTTCAAATAGAACACCCTGTATTTTATTACTGCGTCTCACTCAGTTTTTGTTCTTTTTCTTTCAAATATCCCACAGTAAAGCGTATTTCTTCATTTATCTCTCCACAAAATATTGTAATCCATATTTTAAAAATGACCCTATTAGGTTTTTTTTTTCCAAAAAAAATTCAAGAAAATTAAAATAACGTGGCAACGTCGCATCATAATTTCGAAAGTAATCATTATTATTATTATCTTATTTGTCTACTGTTGCTTTTATTGTGTAAAGAAATTCTCCCAAAACCCGCACCACGATTCACTAAAATTTGTTGAAATACAGGGTGAGTCACTAATATAGTTATCTCATTTTTGTGAAACAGCCTATATACTTACTCTAATTAGTTTTTTGGTAGACTTTATAACAATTCTTTTTCTTTGATTCACAGGTACATTGTTGTGGTTTCAGTTATATTGAATCATATATACAGGATGTTTATAAAAATTCTAATATACCACTTATTGGAATAACTTAATAACGTCGTATCGAGATTTTAAAACATTAAATCCGCTTGTAAGTCCAACTTTTTTTTTAACTAAACACCCTATATATTTTTACATATTTTGATTGACGTCTTCTTAGATTTTACAACCACAGTTTAGTTTTGAAGTTACCACGTTATTCCAATTTTCTTGAAATTTTGTAGGACCATTTTGTAGTGTAAATGAGATTAAATTTTTAATACAGAGTGTTTTTAAAAAAGGTTTTAATAATTAGAATTTTCAAATATCGATATTTCGATTTTTTCAAATAGAACACCTTATATTTTATTTTTTGTTCTTTTTCTTTTTTGCTGAGTATTTTCAAGTTGATATTTACTATGTTGTGTGTTACGCCTTAAAAACAAAACACGCTGTATAGTTTCTTGAAGTGTACACAAAAAAATCAACGTACGGTTATTTTTCAAATCTGTTCCATTTTGTGGTATAAATGAGATTAAATTTTCATATACAGAGTGAATTGTTACAATTTTCAAATATCGATATTTCAGTTTTTCAAATAGAACACCCTGTATTTCATTACTGCGTCTTACTCTATTTTTTGTTCTGTTTCTTTCAAAACTGAAATATCTACTAAAAGTTGAATGTTAAAGTTGGTTGATCTTTTTAAAACTTATTTTTTTTTTAATGAAACACCCTATATAATTTTCTTTTCTTAGACTTTATAATCATTTTGTTTATTGCGAAGCGACGTTGCCATGAAGAAATAAAACAGGTACACGCTTGGTTGGGGTATCAATTAGAATGAATTATATATACAGGGTGTTTATAAAAAATTCTAAAATACTACTTATAACTTGATAACGGCGTATCGAGATTTTAAAACATTAATAAATGCGCTTGTAAATCCAAAGGGGCCAATTACGATATGTAAAAATATATAGAGGGCTCTAATTAAAATATATACAGGGTGACTCACTAAGCGCGCGTTTCTCGATATTTTATTAATTATGAGAAATAGAAAAAGTCTCAGATGGAAGTTGTATGGTTTTGAGGACTATATTCTAAAATTGTATTCACTATACAAACCGTTGTGTTTTTAAGATGTAACACACAACTTATTTTTTTATGAAACACCCCATATATTTTTACAACAGTGTGTCCAAAAAAAAAAATCAACGTACGGTGATTTTTAAAATCCTTGTTCCATTTTGTGGTATAAATGAGATTAAATTTTCATATACAGAGTGAATTGTTACAATTTTCAAATATCGATGTTTCAGTTTTTCAGCTAGAACATTCTATATTTTATTACTGCGTCGTACTCTATTTTTTGTTCTTTTTCTTTCAGAACTGAAATATCTACATTTGAAAATTGTTATGATTATTTTTTTTTACAACACTGTATATTAAAACCAAATTTTGTAAATGACTATTACCTTTTTTTTATGAACTCTTCTTTCCAAAAAAATTCCAAGAAAATTAGAATAACGTGGCAACGTCGCATCAGAATTTCGAAAATAAAACTACAGTTATTAAGTCTAAGAAAAGGTCAGCCAGAATAGGTAAAAAAATATATATTTGAAAAAGTTGTGTGTTACGTCTTAAAAACAGAACACTCTGTATAGTTAAAAATATGTAACACCAGAGTCGGAAATTGTTAATAAAGAATTTAATAAAATCTGAACAAATTTATAAAAAGTAGTGATTTTTAATTACCGAGAAACGTTATTTTTTTAATGAAACACCCTATATATTTGTACATATTTTGATTGACGTCTTCTTAGATTTTACAACCACAGTTTATTTTTGAAACTACGATACGACGTTGCCACGTTATTCCAATTTTCTTGATTTTTTTCAACAACAGGGTGTCCATAAAAAATCAACGTACGGTTATTTTTAAAATTTTTGTTCCATTTTCTGGTATAAATGAGATTAAATTTTCATATACAGAGTGAATTGTTACAATTTTCAAATATCGATGTTTCGGTTTTTCAAATAGAACATCCTGTATTTTATTACTGCGTCTTACTCTATTTTTTTTTTGTTTTTCTTTCAAAACTGAAATATCTACATTTGAAAATTGTTATGATTATTTTTTTACAACACTGTATAGTAAAACCAAATTTTATAAATGACTATTACGTTTTTTTTTTGAACTCTTCTTTCCAAAAAAATTTCAAGAAAATTAGAATAACGTGGCAACGTCGCATCAGAATTTCGAAAATATTAAGTCTGAGAAAAGGTCGGTCAGAATGTGTAAAAATATATAGGGTATTCCATTTGAAAAAACTAAGTTGTGTTATGTCTTAAAAACAGAACACTTTGTATAGTTCAAAATAATTTTAGTATACTACTACTTACTAAATCACCCTATATAATACGGGTAATGTAACACCAAAGTCGGCAATTGTTAATAAGGAATTTCATAAAATCTGAACAAATTTATAAAATATGGTGATTTTTGATTACCGACAAACGTTTGTTTGTCTGTTTGTTGTCCGTCTGTATGTCTGTTGACGATTTAGATCAATTTAAATTGTATTAATTTTCTGATTTCTCTTCTGTTGGTAAAGAATTCTCCCAAAAACCTGTACCACGATTCATTAAAATTCATTAATGTGCAGGGTGAGTCACTAAGAAAATAGAGGGTGGGTGCGTGGGCGGGGCTAGTATTTCATAAGATAAATTTGCGATTAATACTCTATAAAACTAGAAACTCAATGTTTTCCTATCAAATTAAGCCATTTGGAACGGTTTCAAATTTTTTGGAAATTTTTGGAGTCCTTCCCTCGCATTTCTCAGTTATTTGAAGACAAATCGTCAAACATATTTTAGATGCGAAAAATTATCCACAACCCAACTATTTTCCGTTGGGTCAGATCGTCTTTTAACTGTTTCAGACAAAAAAATTTTGGAAATTACGGAAAATTGTTCTCCCTTTTCGCGCTGATTTTCGGAAATAGTTGAAAAATAGTGGAAAATGTCCAAAGTGCCAAAATCAGTTTTATCTTATCAAGTAGTAGCCCCGCCCACCCACCCTCTATTTTGTTGGAAGGTATGTGATTTGCCAAATTCAGTATTATCTTAGCAAGTAATATTTAATTATTGTTTAATAATTTATTTTGCCATTTCAATATATAATATAGTACTTGCTAAGATAAGACTGATTTTGGCAAATCACATACCTTCCAAGAAAATAGAGGGCGGGTGGGCGGAGCTAGTATTTGCTAAGCAAAAAACTAATTTTTGGCAAATGACATACTCCTCTAAGAAAATAGGGGTGGGTGGGCGGGGCTAGTGCTTGCTAAGATAAGACAATTTTTGGCAAATGACATACTTTTTAAGAAAATAGAGGGTGGGTGGGTGGGCGGGGCTAGTATTTCATGAGATAAATTTGCGATGAGTACTCTACAAAACTAGAAGCTCAATGTTTTCCTCTCAAATAAATCCATTTGGTGGAACAGTTTCAAATTTTTTGGAAAGGTAGGGGATTTTTGGAGTCCTTTCCTCGCATTTCTCAGTTATTTGAAGACAAATCGTCAAAAATGTTTTAGATTCGTAATCTGCGAAAAATTATCTATAAGCCATCTATTTTCCGTTGAGTCTTTTAACTGATTAAAAAAAAAATTTGGAAATTACGATAAATGTTTCTCACTTTTCTCGCTAATTTTCGGAAAATAGTTGAAAAATAGTCGAAAATGCCGAAAGTCAGTTTTATCTTCGGGTTCTGTTTTATCTTATCAAATACTATTGCTATCTCATTAACTAATAAATACATAAAAAAGGTTGAATGCTAAAGTTGATTGATCTTTTGGATAACATAACACAAAAATTTTTTTTAGTTGTAAAGAGGGTTTTGTTTTTGAAGCATAATATAAAACTAAAGTTTTTTTATATGAAACACCCTATATATTTTTTTTCTTATTTTTATAACCATTTTTTACTCCGAAGCGACGTTGCCATAAAGAAATAAACAGGTTGACGTTTTGTTGTGGTATCAATTACATTGAATCATAAGTACAGGGTGTCTATAAAAAATTCTAAAATACCACTTATAACTTGATAACATCGTATAGAGATTTTAAAACATTAAGTGCGATTGTCAGTCCAAAGGGGCCAATTACGACTTGAAAAAATATATACAGGGTGAGTCTAAGCGCGCGTTCCTCAATATCTCATTAATCATTTGAAATATAAAAAAATCACAGACCGAAGTTGTACGGTTTTTTGAGGACTATATTCTAAAATGATTATTTTTAACTTTGTACAAAGTGTTGTGTTTTTAAGGTAATATTTTTACATATTTTGATTGACGTCTTAGATTAAATTTTCATATACAGAGTGTTTTTAGAAATAGAACACCCTAGATTTTATTAGAAAAACAGAACACACTGTATAGTTACTACTTGTTCCATGTGTATTTTAACCGTTAACCAAAAATTACCTAATTGATTTAATGATCCAAAAGTCGTCTGAATCATTCATCCCCCACCAAAAAGATGACGTCATCGTGAAAAATTGCTTTGAAATAGTTTCACATTGTAAAATGACATAAAATTAACAGGGACGTTATAAATAATATGCACAATACGTAAATAACACATTTTTTTTAAGTGCATTGTGTGAAGGACCTCAGCTATGTTAAAATATGTATTTAGTCGCATTCAACACTAAAGTTCAACATTATTGCAATAGTTTAAAAGTAGCCTGATATTAAACTTGTTTATAATTATAGTGAACAAAATCTGAGAGAAAATATATTTCATACGTATTAACTCAATGAATTCAGCGTCAATTTGTCGCTCGGAAAAAAATCCAGGTCAATCCCCGAATTCCGAATCCGAAGCATCAGTTCGTTACTCTCGCTTCGAATTTCCGCGTTACGTCCGCACGCCGCGTTACGTCTGCGTGCGCGCATCCGCAAACCCTCCCTTAGTCCGAAAATTTGTTTTTATAGATTCGCGCCCTTATCAGCCGGCATTTTTATCTGTTTCCGACAGTTCGACCTAGAAAACACCGCATCTATTAATAAACCACCCGTTATCCTCACTCCACTTCATGCATAACACAATTAGCGAACTCATTCGCTCGGATCATCTTACTCTTCTCTCTAATTTCCAGTCTGCATCAGGAGATCGAGCACTTCTACGAATACATGAACCACACCAGGACGGAGCACCTGATGCGGAACGACGTCGTCTGCAGGATCAAGCAGATCATCATCTCGAGGTGGCCCGAGGCCCAGGTCGAGGTATTCGGTTCGTACAGGACCGGACTCTACCTGCCGACGAGCGATATAGATTTGGTCGTTATAGGTAATTATCGAATTTTTGAATGGGGCGCGTGCGCGCACGGCCGCCTTGTTGCCATGCGGGGAGAGTTGGGCGCGCAGGCGTTGAGAGAGATGGGCGCGATATGGATTTGTAATATCGGGCGAAGAGAGCAACATCGGGTTTACGGATGGAGATACGAAAAACTTGGGTTCGGTCAAGTGGACTGTGGACCGGTAGTCACGGCGCGCCCACGTGACTACCACATTGTCACTTGATAAACACGCTACTTGTGATTAATTGTTGTTTGTAGCTTATTCAGATACAGGTTTTACGGGGAAAATGAGTTTTTTGTTTCCGGTTGGACGTTTTTTATCAATCAAGGCTAGGAATTGTTTTGTGGACGATATTGATCGATTCGATTATGGAAATCGGTGCAATGGTCGTAGTGATAATGGAGTGTGTATGCCTACGCATTATGCGGTGCGAGCGAAAGGATTTCTAAAGAAAACACATTTTTTGGCATCATTATGCATTCTAAAGGTCGTTGAATATTAAATGTTTTGCTGTAATTATTTTTGACAGGTAATTACGGGTTTCGAGATTAATCTTTCAATGGAACGTAAGCAGATACAATTGCATTGGCATATTTATTTTCTGCTCGTGTAATTTTATCTCGGGGGTTTTTCGATCGTGTACAGTCGGCGAAGAACGGGTTTAATTGGCTGTTGGGGATACTTATGTCACTTTTCTCCAAATTGGCGCTCAATAAAGTGTTCATTTTGTTAAATTAAATTGTTCATTTTTTCATTTCCCTTATTTTTCAGTGTTTCTTTCGATTTTATAGTTTTTCGTTTATTCGTTTTTATTTTCATTTTCTTATTTTTTAATTTTCATTTTCCTTATTTTTCAGTGTTTCTTTCGATTATATTGTTATATTCAATTGTTAGATTTTTCGAAGTTTTCATTTTATACTTTTTCGATTTTCCGTTTTTGATTTTTCAATTTTACAATTTTGCAATTTTTACCAATTTTTATCTTCCGAAAAGGTGGAAAATCGAAAAATTGCAAATCGAAGAACTAAAGAAACGAAAACTAAAAATTGAAAATAAAAATGAATCGAAAAAGGAAAGCCCAAAAATGGTAAAATCAAAATAAAATCCAGTAATTGAAAAATGAAAAAAATTCGAAAATCGTAAAATTGAAAAATTTCAAAAAATATTACGTATTTAAAATTAAAACTAGAAAAATCGAGAAACTGGAAAATCTAAAACTTAAAATCTCCAAAAGTGGGGAAATCGGAAAATTGAAAAATTTTAAAATGAAAAATTGAAATTGAAAAACAAAAAAAAAATTTAAAATTGGAACATTGAAAAATCTAAAAATTGTAAAAATAAAGAAAATGAAAAACAGAAACGAAGAATTACAAATCGAAAATTTAAAGAAGTGAAAAATTAAAAAATCGAAAAATCAAACATTGAAATCTCGAAAAATTTGAAACTGAAAAATTGAAAAAAGGTTAATGAATCGAAAAAAGAAAACCCAAAAATAGTAAAATCAAAAAATAAAATCAAGCAATTGAAAAATGAAAAAATTCGAAAATCGTAAAATTGAAAAAGTGAAAATTTTCAAAAAATATTACGTATTTAAAATTAGAACTAGAGAAAGCGAGAAACTGGGAAATCTAAAACTTAAAATCTCCAAGATTTGGAAAATCGGAAAATTGAAAAATTTGAAATTGAAAAACAAAAAAAAATTAAACCGGAACATTGAAAAATCTACAAATTGTAAAAATAATGAAAATGAAAAACAGAAACGAAGAATTACAAATCGAAAAATTAAACATTGAAATCTCGAAAAATTTTAAACTGAAAAATTGAAAAATGAAAAAATTCGAAAATCGTACAATTGAAAAAGTGAAATATTTCAGAAAATATTACGTATTTAAAATTAAAACTAGAAAAATCGAGAAACTGGAAAATCTAAAACTTAAAATCTCCAAAAGTGGAAAATCGGAAAATTGAAAAATTTGAAAATGAAAAATTGAAATTGAAAAACAAAAAAAAAATATAAAATTGGAACATTGAAAAATCTAAAAATTGTAAAAATAAAGAAAATGAAAAACAGAAACGAAGAATTACAAATCGAAAATTTAAAGAAGTGAAAAATTAAAAAATTTAAAATTCGAAAAATTTAAAATTGAAATCTCGAAAACTTTTAAAACTGCAAAATTGAAAAAAGTTAATGAATCGAAAAAAGAAAACCCAAAAATGGTAAAATCAAAAAATAAAATACAGTAATTGAAAAAGTGAAAAATTTCATATTACGTATTTAAAATTAAAACTACTTAGAAAAATCTAGAAACTGGGAAATCTAAAACTTAAAATTTCCAGAAGTTGGAAAATTGAAAAATCGAAAAATTTTTAAATAAAAATTGAAATTGAAAAACAAAAAAAAAATAAAGTCGGAGCATTGAAAAATCTAAAAATTGTAAAAATAAAGAAAATGAAAAACAGAAACGAAGAATTAAAAATCGAAAATTTAATGAAGTGAAAAATTAAAAAATCGAAAAATTAAACATTGAAATATCCAAAAATTTTAAACTGAAAAATTGAAAAAAAAATTAATGAATCGAAAAAGGAAAGTCCAAAAATGGTAAAATCAAAAAATAAAATCCAGGAAATGAAAAAATTCGAAAATCGTAAAATTGGGAAAGTAAAAAATTAAAAAAAATATTACGTATTTAAAATTAAAACTAGAAAAATCGAAAAATCGAGAAACTGGGAAATCTATAACTTAAAATCTCCAAAAGTGGGGAAATCGGAAAATTGAAAAATTTTAAAATGAAAAATTGAAATTGAAAAACAAAAAAAAATATAAAGTTGGAATCTAAAATTGTAAAAATAAAGAAAATGAAAACAGAAACGAAGAATTATAAATCGAAAATTTAAAGAAATGAAAAATTAAAAAATCGAAAAGTTAAAAATTTAAATCTCGAGAAATTTTAAACTGAAAAATTGAAAAGTCGCAAATCGAAGAACTGAAAAATTGAAAAAAATTAATGAATCGAAAAAGGAAAACCCAAAAATTGTAAAATCAAAAAATAAAATCAGTAATTGGAAAATGAAAGAATCGAAAATCCTAAAATTGAAATCTCGAGAAATTTTAAACTGAAAAATTGAAAAATCGGAAATCGAAGAACTGAAAAATCGAAAAAAAAAATAATGAATCGAAAAACGAAAACCCAAAAATGGTAAAATCAAAAAATAAAATCTAGTAATTGAAAAATCAAAAAATTCGTAAATCGTAAAATTGAAAAAGTGAAAAATTTCAAAATTATTATGCATGAATTTAAAATTAAAACTAGAAAAATTTTAAATCAAATATTAAAGAAACGAAAAATTGAAAAATCGAGAAACTGGAAAATTTAAAAATGAAAACTCGATGAGATGCACTTCGTAAAATTGAAGAAACAAAAAATGAAGAATTAAAAAATTACATTTCGAAAAATTAAAAAAATTGAAACTTAAAAACAAGTAAAATATAAAATTGGAACATCGAAAAATCTAAAGATTGTAAAAATAAAGAAAACAAAACAGAAGCGAAGAATTACAAATGGAAAATTTAAAAACTGAAAATTTTGAACTTAAGAGAAACAAAAAAAATAGAAAATGGAAATCAGAAACGAAAAATTGCAAATCAAAAATTTAAAGAAATGAAAAATTAAAAAAACTAAAAATTGAAAACTTGAGAAATTTTAAACTGAAAAATTGAAAATCGAAGAATTGAAGAAACGATAAATTGAAAATTAAAATTGAAGAAACAAAAAATTGTAAAAACGGAACATTGAAAAATCGAATAAATGAAATAATAAAGAAAACAAAAAAGTGAAAACTCGAAAAACTTTAATCGAAAAATCGCAAAATCTATAAATTGGAAAATTCAAAATTTGGAAAATTTCAAAACTGAAAATTTTGAGCATAAAAGAAACAAAAAAAATGGAAAATGGAAAACAGAAACGAGAAATTTTGAACTGAAAAATTGAAAAGTCGCAAATCGAAAAACTGAAAAATCGAAAAAAAAATCAATCGAAAAGGAAAAACCCAAAAATGGTAAAATGAAAAAATAAAATCCAGTAATTGAAAAATGAAAAAATTCGAAAATCGTAGGATTGAAAAAGTGAAAAAAACCTCAAAAATTACTATGTATTTAAAATTAAAATTAGAAAAATTTTAAATCAAATATTTAAGAAAATGAAAAATTAAAAAATCGGGAAACTGGAAAATCTAAAACTTGAAATCTCCAAAAGTTGGAAAATTGGAAAACTGAAAAATTTAAAAATGAAAACTCATATCGTAAAATTGAAGAAACAAAAAAATGAAAAATTGAAAAATTAGATTTCGAAAAATTAAAAAAAATGAAATTGAAAAACAAAAAAAAATCGGAACATTGAAAAATCTAAAAATTGTAAAAATAGAGAAAATAAAAAACAGAAACAAAGAATTAAAAAATTTAAAAACTGAAAAATCGAAAAAAATTTAATGAATCAAAAAACGAAAACCCAAAAATGGTAAAATCAAAAAATAAAATCTAGTAATTGAAAAATCAAAAAATTCGAAAATCGTAAAATTTGAAAAAGTGAAAATTTTCAAAAATTATTATCATGTATTTAAAATTAAAACTAGAATAATTTTAAATCAAATATTCAAGAAAACGACAAATTGAAAAATCGGAAAACTAAAAAATTTAAAATTGAAAAATTAGATTTCGAAAAATTGAAAAAATTGAAATTGAAAAACAAAAAAATATAAAATTGGAACATTGAAAACTTTAAAAATTGTAAAAATAGGGAAAATAAAAACAGAAACGAAGAATTAAAAAAACTAGAGAATTCGAAAATCGGAAAATTGAAAAAGTGAAAAATTTCAAAAATCATTATCACGTATTTAAAATTAAAACAAGAAAAATTGCAAAGCAAATATTAAAGAAAACGAAAAATTGAAAAATCGAGAAACTGGAAAATCTAAAACTTAAAATCTCCAGAAGTTGGAAAATCGGAAAACTGAAAAATTTTAAAATAAAACTCGGAGAGATGCATATAATAAATTGAAGAAACAAAAAAATGAAAAATTGACATTTAAAAACAAAAAAAGTATGAAATAGGAACATTGAAAAATCTAAAAATTGTAAAAATAAAGAAAATTAAAAATAGAAACGAAGAATTACAAATCGAAAATTTAAATAAGTCAAAAATAAAATATTTGAAAAGAGAAATTTAAACTGAAAAATTGAAAAGTCGCAAATCGAAAAACTGAAGAAACGAAAAATTGAAAAATTACATTTCGAAAAATTGAAAAAATTGAAATTGAAAAACAAAAAACAATAAAATCGGAACATCGCCAAATCTACAAATTGGAAAAGTAAAGAATAATAAACAGAAACGAAAAATTACAAATCGAAAATTTAAAGAAGAAAAATAGTAAAAATTGAAATCTCGAGAAATTTTAAACTGAAAAATCGAAAAGTCGCAAATCGAAGAATTGAAAGATCAAAAAATAAAATTCAGTAATCGAAAAATGAAAAAATTCGAAAATCGCAAAATTGAAAAAGTGAAAAATTTCAAAAATTATTACATGCATTTAAAATTAAAACTAGAAAAATTGCAAAGCAAATATTTAAAAAAAACGAAAAGTTGAAAAATCGAGAAACTGGAAAATCTAAAACTTAAAATCTCCAGAAGTTGGAAAATCGGAAAACTGAGAAATTTAAAAATGAAAACTTGGAGAAACAAAAAAATGAAAAATTGAAATTGAAAAATAAAAAAAATATATGCATAAAATCAAAACATTCAAAAATCGAAATTCTGTAAAAATAAAGAAACGGAAAATTAAAAAATCTAAAAATTAAAAATTGAAAACTCGAGAAATTTTAAGATGAAAAGTTGAAAAGTCGCAAATCTGAAGAAACGAAAAATTGAAAAAATTAAAATTGAAGAACCAAAAAATTGTAAAAACGGAGCATTGAAAAATCGAGTAAATAAAATAATAAAGAAACCAAAAAACCGAAACGAAAAATTGAAAATTCTAAAAATTGAAAAATTCAGAACTTGGAAAATTAAAAACTCAAAAATTTAAACTAAAAAACTCGAAAAGTCACAAATCGAAGAACTAAGGAAACGAAAAACTGAAACAATTAAAATTGAAAACACAAAAAATTATAAAAATGAATCATTGAAAAATCCAATAATTGAAATAATAAAGAAAACAAAAACCGAAACTAAAATTGAAAATTCGACAAACTAAAATCGAAAAATCGCAAAATTCAAAATTTGGAAAATTTAAAAACTGAAAATTTTAAACTTGAAAACTAAAAAAAAATGCAAATCGAAGAACTGAAGAAACAAAAAAAGAAAAAACCTACAGTTTTTACTTTATAGAGGTTATCAAAAAACAATGTCATCTTCGGAATTAATACAATAATGTACCAAAATATGCATTTTTCGTGATAATTAAATCATTTTCAAAATGTCGGTTCAGAAATTAAGTGACAGGACGACAGTGCCATAGCATGACTTGCCTTCATGTGCACCACTTTCGACGTTCGTTGTTACCATTGCTCCAAGAACGAGCATCGAGTCCAGTAAAATCTACTAGAAAATTTATAAAGTGAAACATCGCTCGCATCCGGGTTTCTATAAGAGAATGTTATTGTAATCCGCCATGAATCAAAATATGTAAAATTCGCTTTCAACAACTAGAAAGTAGATTAAAAGAACTGGAAACCTCCATTAACAATCCCCTTTATGAATAAATCCTTTCAAGATCTTTTCCGTTTCGCAGGCAAGTGGTCCAACCTCCCCTTACGAACCCTCGAGCAGGAGTTCCTCGACAAGGGCGTCGCCCAGGAGAACAGCATAAAGGTCCTCGACAAGGCGTCCGTGCCCATCGTCAAGCTGACCGACAAGCAGACTGAGATCAAAGTGGACATTTCTTTTAATATGTCGAACGGTGTCAAGTCCGCCGAACTGATACGGAGTTATATACAGATGTATCCAGTGTTGCCGAAGTTAGTTTACGTTTTAAAACAGTTCCTTTTAGAAAGAGACCTAAACGAAGTGTTTACCGGTGGCATTTCGAGTTACAGTTTAATATTGATGTGCATTAGTTTCCTGCAGTTACACCCGCGCCCGGATACCGGTATGAATTTAGGAGTTTTTCTAATCGAGTTCTTCGAACTGTACGGTAGGAAGTTCAATTACATGCACACGGGAATTCGGATACGAGAAGGAGGGAGGTATATTAGCAAAGAGGAGATGCAAAAGGACATGATCGACGGACATAGACCTAGTTTGTTGTGTATAGAAGACCCGCTCCTGCCGACGAACGATATCGGAAGGAGTAGTTACGGCGTATTGCAGGTAAGAGTGTGCTCGTCCCTTCCGGAAAGTCGGTGACGTCATTGCAAAAACATAGGTAAAATAAGTGGACTGGTATACTTTTCACTGTATCACTGTTATTTAAAAATTTTCTTTGTTTTATTTTCTCAAGTTGTGGTGTGTAACGGAATGTTAGATACCGACATGGTTTGGCATAAAGCAAACTTAAAATTATTTTCTAAGAATAGTTTTAAAATGTATTTAAAACGTGAGATAATGGTATAATTAGAAATAACTCAGTTCAAGGTGGTCTGTTACAGTTTCGTGCTAAAGAATTAAGATATTTAGGAAACCCTGATTGCAATTTTTTTAAAAGTGAGGTTAAGTGTGTTTTGACATTCGATACGGAATTATCGTTTAGGTGCATTTACACTCTTGCTGTTTTTATGAAGCGGCGTTTACGTACAATAAGGGGAGAGGATGATTTAATTGTTGGCATTTTGTCTAAAAAAGACGTACATACATACATAGACGTAATCTGCTTAAAATAAAACTTTATTCAATTAATTTCCACTGCCAACTCTGTAGTATCTACTTGTAGTGGCCGAAATAAAAAATCTAAAAATTGAACTCTCGAGAAATTTTAAACTGAAAAATTGAAAATCGAAGAATTGAAGAAACGATACATTGAAAAATCGAGTAAATGAAAAAATAAAGAAAACAAAAAACCGAAACGAAAAATTGAAAATTCTAAAAATTGAAAAGTTCAAAATTTGGAAAATTTAAAAACTGAAAAATTTAAACTTAAAAACTCGAAAAATTGCAGATATAGAATTTGAAGAAATGAGAAATTAAAAATTTAAAAATTAACTCGAAAAATTTTAAACTGAGAAATAATAATAATAATAATGCTTTATTGACGGAATTTCCCTGAATACAATTACATAAAAATCGTAAAATTGAAAATTTTCAAAAATTGTTACCTATATAACATTAAAACTAGAAAAATTTTAAATTAAATATTAAAGAAAACGAAAACTTGAAAATTCGAGAAACTGAAAAATCTAAAACTTGAAATCTTGGAAAATCGGAAAACTGAGAATTTCAAAATGAAAACTGGGAGAAAATTGAAGAAACAAAAACATTAAAAATTGAAAAATTACATTTCGACAGATTGAAATGAAAAACAAGAAAAATAAAATCGGGACACTAAAAAATCTAAAAATTGTAAAAATAAAGAAAATGAAAAAACAGAAACGAAGAATACAAATCGAAAATTTAAAGAAATGAAAACTTTTAAAAATTGAAAAATTAAAAATTTGGAAAATTTAAAAACTGAAAATTTTGAACTTAAAAGAAACAAAAAAAAATGGAAAATAGAAACGAAAAATTGCAAATCAAAAATTTAGAGAAATGAAAAATTGAAAATCGAAGCTTCAATTCTTCGATAAATTGAAAATTAAAAAAAATTGAAAAATTCAAAATTTGGAAAATCTAAACACCGAAAAATTTAAACTTAAAAACTCAAAAAGTTTCAAACTGAGAAATTGAAAAGTTATAAATGGAGAACTAAGGAAACGAAAAACTAAAATCGAAAAATCGCAAAATACACTGCGTTTCAAATAAAATGCACCACCTAGAAGGAGTAGGCGTAGAATGTTGAAATTTGGTGGAGAAGACTATTGCACGTAGACAAACATTTGATTAAAATTTCAAAGAAAAAATAAAATGTCTAACACAAGAAATGTTAATAATGTGTTAAAATTCCACGTGCACGAATACAAGACTGTATTCTTCTAGGCATGCTTAAAATGAGATGATCTATTGCCTGCTGGGGTATCTCATTCCAGGCATTTTGAATTTGTTGTAGACATTCTTCCAAAGTCTTTGGAGGATGTGGTAAATTGCGCAGCCTTCTATGCATTAAATCCTAAACATTTTCGATTGTTGATAAATCTGGTGATAGGGCAGGCCAGGGTAAGAAGTTGACGTTATTTTCGTCAAACACTCTTTAAGTTAATATGGCCACATGAGGCCACGCATTATCTTGTTCAAAAGATGTTCTTCGACGGTTCGAGAGATAAGGAAAAAGAAATTGATTTAACACGTTAACGATGTAATGCCGGGCATTTAGCGTGCCTGGAATGAACACTAAGGGAGTACTTCAACAGATGTGTATACCATCCCATATCATTACTCCAGGTGTTAGAGCGATATGACATCTCTGTACAAATTCCAGATTTTACCTTTGGCCTCAAGGCCTTCGAACACGTATGCGTCCATCAGAGTGCCACAAACAAGACCTAGACTTGTTCCTAAACATTATGACATTCCACTATTACAGCCATTGCTGCCTGTCTTGGTACCAGTGAAGCCTGGTAGTTTTGTGTTCTTGTGGTAAGGGAAGTTTGCAGTTTGGACGATAAGATCTCAAGCCAAAGGAACGAATTTGGCGGTAGATGGTACTCCTCGGATTCTGTGCCCAATTGCTGTCATCCAGTCCATCCCGACTGATCGTTATGGTTACCAAGGGTACTGAATAACACTTCTTCTTAGCAAATGATCTTCGCGTTCTTGGGTGACTCTGAAACGGTCGGTACCCCTGCGACGCATTTGTAGCTCTTCGTTGTTCCATTCTCGACTTGTTCTTAATATCGTAGAATCCGTTGGGCCGAGTCTTCTGGTGATTTCCCGAAATGGTAAACTAGCCTCATGCATCCCAATCATTCGCCCTCTTTCAATAGGTGTTATCTGTTGAAAATTACCTCGTGTGTGGACTCGTAGCATTTTTGCAAGCACAATAATGACAAATGTCAAGTAAAATTGCAAAAGAATCTTACTCAAGTATCTTTAAAACATAATCAAAAAATTAATAAAAATCGAATAACACTCGGTATATTATCTAAACAAGTAGTAGTTTTTCTTTCAAATTTTAATCAATTGTTTGTCTATATGCAACAGTCTTCTCCACCAAATTTCTACATTCTACGCCTACTCCTTCTAGGTGGTGCATTTTATATGAAACGCAGTGTATATAAATTGAAAAATTCAAAATTTTGAAAATTTAAAAACTGAAAATTTTTAACTTCAAAGAAACAAAAAAAATGGAACAGAGAAACGAAACATTGCAAATCCAAAATTGAAAAATAAAAAATTGAAATCTCGAGAAATTTTGAACTGAAAAATTAAAAAGTCGCAAATCGAAGAACCGAAAAATCGAAAAAAAAATTAATCGAAAAAGGAAAACCAAAAAATGGTGAAATAAAAAAATAAAATGCAGTAATTGACAAATGAAAAAATTCGAAAATAGCAAAATTGAAAAAGTGAAAAATTTCAAAAATTATTACGTATTTAAAATTAAAACTAGAAAAATTTTAAATCAAATATTAAAGAAAACGAAAAATTGAAAATTGGAAAATCTAAAACTTTAAATCTCCAAAAATTGGAACATCGGAAAACTGAGAATTTCAAAATGAAAACTGGGAGAAAATTGAAGAAACAAAAACATTACATTTCCAAAAATTGAAAAAAATGAAATTGAAAAACAAAAAAAATAAAATCGGAACATTTAAAAATCTAAAAATTGTAAAAATGAAGAAAACGAAAAAACAGAAACGAAGAATTACAAATAGAAAATTTAAAGAAATGAAAAATTTTAAAAATTGAAAAATTAAAAATTTGGAAAATTTAAAAACTGAAAAACAAAAAAAATCTAAAGTAGAATCGAAAAATTGCTAATCAAAAATTTAAAGAAATGAAAAATTGAAAATCGGGGAATTGAAGAATCGATAAATTGAAAATTAAGATTGAAAAAACAAAAAATTGTAAAAACGGAACATTGAAAAATCGAGTAAATGAAATAATAAAGAAAACAAAAAGCCGAAACGAAAAATTGAAAATTTTAAAAATTGAAAAATTCAAAATGGAAAATTTAAAAACTGAAAATTTTGACCTTAAAAACTCGAAAAATTGCAGATCTAGAATTTCAAGAAATGAGAAATTAAAAACTGAAAAATTTAAGAATGGAAACTGGAAGAAAATTGAAGAAACAAAAACATTAAAAATTAAAAAATTACATTTCGACAAATTGAAAAAATTGAAATTGAAAAACAAAAATCTAAAAATTGTAAAAATAAAGAAAATGAAAAAACAGAAACGAAGAATACAAATCGAAAATTTAAAGAAATGAAAAATTTTAAAAAATGAAAAATTAAAAATTTGGAAAATTTAGAAACTGAAAATTTTGAACTTAAAAGAAACAAAAAAAAATGGAAAATTGAAACGAAAAATTGCAAATCAAAAATTTAGAGAAATGAAAAATTGAAAATCGAAGAATTGAAGAAACGATAAATTGAAAATTAAGATTGAAGAAGCAAAAAATTGTAAAAACGGAACATTGAAAAATCGAGTAAATGAAATAATAAAGAAAACAAAAAGTCGAAACGAAAAATTGAAAATTTTAAAAATTGAAATATTCAAAATTTGGAAAATTTAAAAACTGAAAATTTTGAACTTAAAAACTCGAAAAATTGCAGATCTAGAATTTGAAGAAATGAGAAATTATAAACTGGAAAATCTAAAACTTGAAATCTCCAAAAGTCGGAAAATCGGAAAACAGAATTTCAAAATGAAAACTCGGAGAAAATTGAAGAAACAAAAACATTAAAAATTAAAAAATTACATTTCGACAAATTAAAAAATAAAAAATTGTAAAAATAAAGAAAATGAAAAAACAGAAACGAAGAATACAAATCGAAAATTTAAAGAAATGAAAAATTTTAAAAATTGAAAAATTAAAAATTTGGAAAATTTAAAAACTGGAAATTTTGAACTTAAAAACTCGAAAAATTGCAGATCTAGAATTTGAAGAAATGAGAAATTAAAAACTGGAAAATCTAAAACTTGAAATCTCCAAAAATTGGAAAATCGGAAAACTGAAAAATTTAAGAATGGAAACTCGGAGAAAATTGAAGAAACAAAAACATTAAAAATTAAAAAATTACATTTCGACAAATTGAAAAAATTGAAAATAAAAAACAAGAAAAATAAACTCGGAACATTAAAAAATCTAAAAAAATTGTAAAAATAAAGAAAATGAAAAAACAGAAACGAAGAATTGAAGAAACGATAAATTGAAAATTAAAATTGAAGAAACAAAAAATTGTAAAAACGGAACATTGAAAAATCGAGTAAATGAAATAATAAAGAAAACAAAAAGCCGAAACGAAAAATTGAAAATTTTTAAAAATTGAAAAATTCAAAATTTGGAAAAATTAAAAACCGAAAAAATTAAACTTAAAAACTCAAAAAGTTTTAAACTGAGATATTGAAAAGTCACAAATCGAAGAACTAAAGACACGAAAAACTGAAAAAACAAAAAATTATAAAAACGAAACATTGAAAAATCAGAACAAAAAATTGAAAACTCGAGAAACTAAAATCGAAAACTCGCAAAATCTATAAATTGAAAAATTCAAAATTTGTAAAATTTAAATACTGAAAATTTTTAACTTCAAAGAAACAAAAAAAAATATGGAACAGAGAAACGAAAAATTGCAAATCCAAAATTGAAAAATTAAAAATTGAAATCTCGAGAAATTTTGAACTGAAAAGTTGAAAAGTCGCAAATCGAAGAACTGAAAAATCGAAAAAAAGTTAATCGAAAAAGGAAAACCAGAAAATGGTGAAATTAAAAAATAAAATCCGGTAATTGACAAATGAAAAAATTAGAAAATAGCAAAATTGAAAAAATGAAGATTTTCAAAAATTATTACGTATTTAAAATTAAAACTAGAAAAATTTTAAATCAAATATTAAAGAATACGAAAAATTGAAATTGAAAAACAAAACAAAAATATATAAAATCGGAACATTGAAAAATTAAAAATTGTGTAAATAAAGAAAATGAAAAACAGAAACGAAGAATTACAAATCGGAAATTTAAAGAAGTGAAAAATTAAAAATTGAAAAGAAGAACTGAAGAAACGAAAAATTGAAAAACAAAAAACCGAAACGAAAATTTGAAAAATCTAAAAATTGAAAAATTCAAAATTTGGAAAATTAAAAAATTTATAAATTAAAAATTAAAAACTCGAAAAATTTTAAACTGAGAAATTGAAAAGTCAAATCGAAAAACTAGGAAACGAAAAACTGAAAAAATTAAAATTGCAAAAACAAAAAATTATAAAAACGAAACGAAAAATTGAAAACTCGAGAAACTAAAATCGAAAAATCGCAAAATCTATAAACTGAAAAATTCAAAATTTGGAAAATTAAAAAACTGATAATTTTTAACTTAAAAGAAACAAAAAAAAATGGAAAATGGAAGACAGAAACAAAAAATTGCAAATCGAAAACTCGAGAAATTTTGAACTAAAAAACTGAAGAAACGATAATTTGAAAAAATTACAATCCTAGAAACGAAAAATCGAATAATTGAAATAATAAACAAAACAAAAATCGAAACGACAAATTGAACAATTAAAAATTGAAAATTCGTGAAACACAAATCGGAAAATTAAAAAACTGAAAAATTTAAACTTAAAAATTCGAAAAATTGCAAATAGAGATGTTTTCAAGTTATCATAGGCATGGTAAATTTTTGATCAAAATGTCTTGGTAAGATAAAACTGATTTTGGCAAATCACATACCCTACAAGAAAGCAAAGGGTGGGTGGGCGGGGTTAGTACTTGCTAAGATAAGACTTATTTTGGCAAATGAGATATCCTCTGAGAAAATAGGGGGCGGGTGGGCGGGCCTAGTCTTTCATAGTAACGTGTTAAATTCCTAAATCTACCCGAAATGTGCAAAATGTGATAAGTTTTTACTTGTGATTTATCATCGCTTTCATATTTTTTTAATTTGCTTATACAGGGTGTCTCAGAAAAATTAATGACTGAGTTGTTAAAACATAAATATCTAATCAGATTTAACTCGTTACTATGAAAATTTGCAATTTAACACCTTTTAAATTTAACAAGTTTTTACAAGTTTACTAGGGGCAAAATCAGTCTTATCGTAGTAAGTACTTTTCTCAGAGTTTATATCATTTGCCAAAATAAGTTTTGCCGTTGAAAATACTAGTCCCGCCCACCCGCCCTCTATTTTCTTAGAAGGTATGGGATCTGCCAAAATCAGTATTATCTGAGTAAGTACTAGCCCCGCCCACCCGCCCCTATTTTATCAGAGGATATGTCATCTGCCAAAATAAGATTTATCTTAACAAGTACTACCCTCTGAGAAAATAAAGGGCGAGTGGGCGGGGCTAGTACTGTTAACACAAGTCTCATTTTGGCAAATAATATATCCTCTGAGAAATAGAGGGCGGGTGGGCGGGCTTAGTACTTGGTAAGATAAGACTGATTGTGGCAAACGATATACCTTCTAAGAAAATAGAGGGCGGGTGGGCGGGCCTAGTACTTGTTAAGATAAAACTAATTTTGGCCCTATTAATCCTTGCAAAAATGTTGATGACGTCATCACAAAATTCCGATTTTTATTAGAGAAAAATACTTGGCCGATTGCCGTCAAATTTTGTATGTATATTACGAATATCATGTAGATAGATTTGCTTATACAAAGTGACTCAAAAAAATTTATGAATCAGTCAGTTTATTTTATTGAATAAATCAAGAATTGCAAAACTAAATACTTTGATATCTTGCACACGTTTTAAAGTTATTGTAAGCATGGTAAATTGTTAATCAAAATATATGTTTATTCCCCCAAAAAAATGATGACGTCATCTCAAAATTTTTCCGAATAAATTCTACCCAAAATGTGATGAGTTTTTACTTGTGATTTATCATTGCATTCATATTTTTTAGATTTGCTTAAACAAGTGGCTCAAAAAAATTAATGAATCAGTCAATTTATTTTATTGATTAAATCAGGAACGGCTCACTCCATTTTTCTAGAAAATTCTGCGAATACAATACTGTTATTTGTCAATTTCCATTTTACACTAAATACAATAAGTCAGTGAAATGGAAAAAGGAGCGGGCGGGGCTAAATTTAGCTTGTTTTTTAGTTTTATGAGCAAGCAGTGGCCCCGCCCACACACTTTTTTCTTAGAGGATATGTCATTCACTAAAATCAATCTTATCTTAGCAGATACTAGCCCCGCCCACACACGCTGCTCTCATTGTAACGATTTTATCTCTTCATATACATAATACAGGAATCACTGAAATGGAGGAGGGGTGGGTGGGCGGGGTGAACTATATTTTTCTTTTGTAAAATGAGAATGGGAACTAATAGAACGTAGGCTGTTAAAAAAATCGTGAATCGTAATTTTTTTGTTATACTATTTATTTGCTATAATATTTATTTTTTATTTCTGAAGAAAAAAATAGAGAACGGGTGGGTGGGCGGGGCTAAGTTTAACTTTTTCCTACGGAACCCCCTCTTCATTCCAGTGATTACTCTTAATATTGTTCATTGTCATTTACCAAAATTTGTGTGTTAAACATGATAGAATCGGTTGAAAATCCTCACACTGACGAAGTAACGTATTTAAAGCCCCCTGACATATTAAAAATTAAAAATTAAAAAACATGATGTCGTTTCGAATTCAAAATTTTCTGTAATCCAACCAGGAAATTTTAGTCCTTTTCTGTAAGGTTTTTCATATATTTTTATAAAAATAAAAATTTTGTTGTGATTTGTACAGACCGAAAAAACGAAAGTTTCTTTCAAGCTAGCTTAATTTTACCGGATATATTCTTTGTTTAACTCATCTAAATACCAAGTTAATTTTGAATGTTATTATTTTAGTCGGTCGCTAATTAACAGGGACCTTGCACGGCCACGTTGCTCGAAACCTTTAGATTAAAATTCGTGTTCAGTGATTTATTATCGAAAACTAATTTAAATCAGCACCGGTTCTTATAAAAATAAAGTAAAAAGAAAACGGTTACCTGCATACTCTAATTAAAAACTATTGTACTCGGACGTGGCTTTCTTTTACTTTGATAATTGTTACAACACACAAAATAATTTTTGTTAGAAAAATTGAATTAAAAAAATGTTTTGTTGTTATCGAAATAAATTTTAGCTGAAGTGGTGCATGGAAACGATAATTTAAACAATTGTTCTACGGCAAATAGTCATAAATTAGCATTAATCAGCCTCGACGCATACCATTATTATCGTTTTCATTGCATTTGAAACCACATTGATTTTATTTGTCTGGACGCTCTATTAAAAAAAAAAAAAAACAAACAGGATACGGAATCATAAAGGTAATCCTTGTTTTCAAGATTCAAGCTTAGCTGAATCATAAAATTATAATCTGATAAAAGTTGATACTCATTTCCGCAGTCGGTTTAAAAATGTATCCATAAAAAATAAATAAACAAAATAATTTGAAACGCTTTGAACGATAATCTAGACCACCGTGTCGTAACACCACAACCGAGAACCTTTGAAATTTGTACCCACCGTTATCAAAAATTAGGATAAGTGCATTTGACGTTTTTATTATATAATTAAGTACCTAGTTGTTATTTATTTCTCTTACGAAAACATAAATTTCTAAGCATTGTTGATGTTGGTTTTATGAGCCAACTATGTCAAACATCACACGACATCATTTCGGATCGATAGTCGCTTTATTACCCAAAATATTTTTAATAAAAACACTCGTTCCAGGTGAAACGGTCCTTCGAATACGCCTACACAGTTCTAACAAATGCCGTCCTCCCCTTATCTTCCCACAGCGTTTGCCAAGAGCACTCGATATTAGGCAGGATAATAAGAGTGACCGACAAAGTGATCCAGTACAGACGGTGGATCGAGAAAACTTTTAGTTTGAAATACTCACCGACTATCCCGAGGCCGAGGCCTCCTCGTTCTTCCCGATCTTTATCGAGTAGCGGTTCAACGTCCAGCGTAGAGGAGAGCGGGGGCAGTTCAGAAGTGAGTGGTTGGGTTAACTTATTTATTTTTATGAAATATAAATACATACTTATCGAGTAGGCGAATAATAGAACTGACGTCACGAATGATTAATGATTGGTGGATGTTTTTGTTATTCTAGGGGTCCGATCCTCCGTCACGTGACATATCACCGAACAACATGCACGTCCAGCGGCACATACCACAGAAAAGTCACCAACAGTGGAGAAATCGGAAATACAAGAATAGCCCTCACAATAATTATAATCAATCAACCACAACAAAGCGTAAAAAACAAACCAAACAATACTGACTTTTTAATTTTTATTGAGTAGGTTAAAAAGCAGCAGGTACGCATGTGTATATGCCTAGTATTCTGCAGTTGCAATTGCAAGATAACGTACAAAAAAAAAATACAAATAGTCACCAAAAACCAAAAAAAGTATAAAACGAATCGATAAGGAAAATGCAATAAAAACCGGGACTTCACTTACAGTTTGTAATAATATAGGAAGTAGTATTGAAATTTCTGTGTTAGTAGCGCCACCTTATATTACTAACGTTCAATTGTTGCAGTCTGGAGAGATACATTAAAAATTCTATGTGTGGTAAACACTGTGTTAGTTTTATTTGCATTTACAGTTACAACTGGGAGTATTTATGGCATATGATGGACTTATAGACGAGATCGATTTAGTTCCCGCGACAATTTTATTTCCTTATTTTACGGCATCACGGATGTTAATTTTACCCTTACGTCTGTTTTTTATGCAATACGTTGTGGTGCAATATTCAACGGTTTTCCTTTTATCTGATAATTTTATTGCGAGCATATCGACCGTATATCAATCACTTTTAACTTCCGGCGATATTTTTAGAGGAAATACTCTTCATTTACAATTTCGTTTCGAATGTGCGTGATTCTGTACATACGTGTAAAGGAAATTGAATTGTAAAAATATTGTGATATAATAGATTAAGTGACGTGGATAATATTCAGAACTGTGGTGGAAATATTAGTGACACCTGACTTTTTAATTTAACGCATTGTACGTTTTTAGTTGGGGGCAGAAACTCGTCAATTCGTCGTTTAGGTTCATAGAAATTCTTAGATTTCCTCTTTAATTGTAAGCAAATCGAAACGTGGTGATCAAGCGAATGAAATTCTTTTGTTCCTTTTGTACATATTAATTTTGTGTTTAATGCAAAAACGCGATATTTGGCCGTTTTAGGTCTAAAAACTGTACGGTTTTTTTGAACGAATGATGCTTTTGTTGGGTTTCTCTTAAAAGGATACAATTTTCGGATATTGAAATTTGTTAAATTTTGACATTTTTATGTGAAGTTGTTAATAGCTAGGTTTAAGTATTTATATTAGCGTATAGTTTTAAGAGAAAGTTGTCGATTTATGTAAACTTATTAAAAATGTTTTCGATTTTTAATAGGAATAGACTTAAGTCAGTTTAAGTACAAAAAGAAAATGTAAAAAAAAGATGTTCATTACAAAAAAGCAAAAAAAAACTTTTGTTACAATGTACGCGCCAAGATTTTTGTAAGCATATATTTATTAAATAACGGTTAAAATATATTTTATATCTTGTGCGCACTAATTTGTTTCATTTCGAGTCACCAGAATACGGTTGGCGGTAGTCACGTTGGCAACACTGCGTATCTGTCCTTTTTGACGTGTGCACCAACACGTGCGCTAACCTAAAATGGTAATGCACCCAATTTAACAAAAAAGAGAGTGAGATTACCGAAAAATGGCCACAATCAACATCGACGCCAACAATTTCGAGCCACGAAAGCCCCCAAAACGGAAAAATGACTCGAGCGCAATGGAAGTGGAGACCCACAACGGGATCGAGGGCAGAGTCCGCAAACAACCCAAACCCAAACGCCTGCGGACGAAATCCTACTCCGAAAGCAAAGACAACGTGAGGAAAATCCCCGTCCCCGCCCACAGATACACCCCCTTGAAGGAAAACTGGTTGAAAATTTTCACCCCAATCGTCGAACACCTCAAATTACAAGTCCGATTTAACCTGAAGACGCGCAACGTCGAGATCAAAACGTGCGACGAGACCGACGACATAGGAAATTTGCAAAAAGCGGCCGACTTCGTCAAGGTAAGTCCCGATTATGCGTCGACTCGTACTAATTGTGCCTTAGGCGTTCGTGTACGGCTTCGACGTCGACGACGCCCTCGCCCTGCTCCGTCTGGACGACCTCTTCATCGAGACCTTCGAAATCAAGGACGTGAAAACCCTCAAGGGCGACCACCAGTCTCGCGCCATCGGCAGACTCGCGGGGAAAGGCGGCCGCACGAAATTCACCATCGAAAATGTCACTAAAACGCGGATAGTTCTGGCCGACAGCAAAATTCACATTTTAGGGAGCTACCAAAACATACAGTTAGCGAGGAGGGCGATCTGCAACCTAATTTTGGGTTCGCCGCCCTCCAAAGTGTACGGACAGTTGAGGAACATAGCGTCTCGAGTGTCAGAAAGAATGTAAATTATTTATGTTTAATATAAAATTATACACACGTTATTTCTTAGTAAAAAATTTCCAGTACGAAAGCGACACAAGAATTGCTATTTCAGTGATTATTATCAGGATGAGGATGAGCTTGTTGTAGATGGCGTTGCGCCCCATTCGCTTGAGAATAGTCCGGGCATTGTCCAGCTGCTCGTTGGCGTTCTCGAGCCGGTCTCTGGTCCGCAACAAAGACTCTCTTTGTTGGTGGAGCTCGGACACCACTTCGGTCCCAAGTTGCTCGGTTTCGATGGCGATTTGGTTGGACCTGGCGAGGCTTTCGGAGGTGCGGTCCAAGGCCGCGCGACCCTCGAAAGCCACCTGCCTGTTGTGGGCCTCCCAGTCGTAATTCGACTCGTTGAACATGTTCACATAACCTCAACTCGCCCCAAAAAATAGTAATCAAGCTTAAATTATAGCCCCAATTCCAAAAATCCAGCAACTTTAGAAACAAATCAACTGTCACTAGAAATCACTAGAAATGTTGGCACCCCTGGGCGTGTCCGACAACATGGCGCCGATAATAAACGTGCGCTATTTTCAAATTTCGTGCAATTTTGGTCAAAAAAGTCGCTTGTTTCGCGGTCTGCGTGGGTGCGTTGAGGCCGACTGCAGTGAAAAGTGCCCCCACAGCAGGTAATTATTAATTAAGCGCTTATCTTGATTGCAGCGACCTTCGCCTCGACATAACCTCACTTTCCCCAAAACAAAACATTCAAATAAATAATTTATTACAAATCTATATAAGGAGAGCCACATCTGACATTGTAGAACTGGTCGCAGACTTGGAACTGCTCGTTAAACAAGGTCCCGTTGGTGCACAGAAACGACGCTGCTGTGTTTTGTTCGCAGAGGTGATAGGCCTGAAAATTAAAAATAGGGGGTATTGTAATAGCGCGGAAGTCCTGATACCTGGCATCCGCTTGCTACATCGGCGTAGTACCCGTAGTGGCGCCCGGCACACGTGAAACCCGTTTGTGGAACGCGGGCCAGCGTGGGGTACAGAGGGGGGTCGTGGGGCAGGTGTAGGTCATGGTAGCCGTCGTAGGGGAGCGATCCCGGTATAATGTAGTGGCCCCCATACACCGACAGCACTAGACCTGAAAGTCATAAATTTTGCTCAAATTCTAGTTCAAGTGAATGGTGTGGTTTAAAAATAGGGCGATAAATTTTGTTGCAACATGGTTTGTTTATTGTTGATTGAGATGGATTTTTTCGTGGGAGTGATTGATAAATGGTTGTAAAATTCACGAACTACTCCATTTATCATTTCAGGTAGTGACAGTGATTGTAAATAATGGAAATGAGCGAGAAGTGGTTTGTTTTTGATAAAGTGTTTAGGGGAGATAAGATCGCTTATGGAATTGCGTAATTGTCTTGAGGTAATGCAGCGATAATAAATAGCAGTAATTTTATTATTAGATTGTGGCAGCCGGGGGCAAGGTTTATCTCGAAATGTGCAATAAAAACTTGATTGCGTTGTTTTTCGTGACAATTAGGTGCAATTAAATGGAATTTCTGGTGGTAATTCTGAAAAGGGTAGACAATTTTTTTTGGACACCTCTACTTACATTGACATACATGTACTAGTATATTTTAAAATAGAACAGAATTATAAAAAGGGTCAAAATTTTAATTTTTCTCGTGTAAAAGTGAGGTGTAAAAATAGTTTTATGTCCATATAAATAATATAATTGTGCTTAATTATATAAAAAAGTTATTGTTTCTGCTTTCATTTATATTTTTTTGATTAATCTGTGCGTATGTGACATCTGTTCATAGCTAAAGCACCAAACGTGATTTAAAAAGATCTGATTAAAAAAACGTGTGTTTATTTTGTAAATTAAATTAAATCAATGACACGATTCAATAAAAATTTAACTAATGTTATAAATAATTGTGAATAATTAATTATAATAGACAGTTGTAAGCGAAATGGTAAAACAAAAATAAATAAAATTTCACAAAAAAAAACTGTCCGGAATTTAATTAAATTAAATTCAACAAACAATTTTTTTTAAGTGTGGAGAACCATAAACTACTCACAGAAAATCGCAAGCAAAACCTTCATCATAAATTCACGAAACTTTCGCAAGTTTGAACGGTCAAGCGGCCACTAAACAACAAAACAAAAATTATCCCTTAACGTCGAATATATTTGTTGATGGTATGGTGGGTTAATCTGGGTCAAACAGGCCGTGATAGCCGTTCACTATTTACTATATCGGTGTTTTTAAATAATCATTGCCCTTATTAAACTAGTTCTTTTCAAATTACCTTTTTTAAAAAGGTCACTTTCGGTTGGCAAGGTCACAACTCCCCCACATTCCTTCTCGATGCGTAGCCTCTACCGAAATTCGAGTAATTAGAATGTTGCAATAAAATCATTACACAATAATTCACAAACCGACAAAAATAATTATCGCATAATGAATTTAGTTTAATTTTTCAAATTACAAACTGTTGTCATTAATTCCATATCTCACTGATTATCGTCACGATTAAACCAATCTCAAATTTAGCGCTCATCTCGTTCTTTTCGCTCCGTCACGTTGGCAGCACCATCTCGATTGTGCGCGTGTTGTAAACATGGAGAGAGTAGACTCACATTTAAACAAAAAACTTTTCGTGTTATTATTTACAGTTTTAAATATCGTGAACGCGAATTTAGTCCATAAAAAATTCGAGTATAAATATTCGTTCAAGCCCCCATACTTGGCTCAAAAGGACGGTTCGGTGCCGTTTTGGGAATACGGTGGAAGTAAGTAGATTTTTAAGTACACGTAGGTAGTTTTGTCCGCCAATCACGGACAAGATCCGCCGCACCGTCTCTCTCCATCTCGCACGAAACGAGAGAGACGCCCGACGCACGCACGCCGAAAATTGACAGATTTTTGACACGTATCTAACCAAAAAACACATCTGGTTGGAGTCGGCCTGAAATATGAATGAAAAAAGTACGCTTCGGACTGATTCACGTTTGAATTATAGATGCCATAGCCAGCGCGGAAAATGTCCGAATTGCGCCGAGTCTGCGAAGCCAGAAGGGCGCAATCTGGACGAAGACCCCCATAAACTTCGACTGGTGGGAGGTGGACATCGCCTTCCGTGTAACGGGACGAGGGCGCGTGGGGGCCGACGGTCTCGTAAGTGTGTTGCATGACCCCCAAACCCGCACTAAATCGATTTCGTAGGCATTTTGGTTCACGCAAAGCAAGGGGGCCTATGATGGGGATGTTTTCGGGTCGTCGGACATGTGGGTCGGGATGGGGCTCTTCTTCGACTCGTTCGACAACGACGGCAAACACAACAACCCTTACATCATGGCTGTGTTGAACGACGGGACCAAGCAATTCGCCCATCAACTGTAAGTACCCCCTTATCTTTAGCTTGAATAACGTTATCTTTGAAGAGATGGGAGCAATCAACTTTTGTCCGGCTGCTTGAGAGATTTTCGTAACAAACCCTTCCCCACAAGGGCTAAGATTGAATATTACCAGAATATTCTCACGGTGTTGTTCCATAACGGGATGACTAACAATGAACAGGATTATGAGGTGTGTTTGCGGGCTGAGAATGTGGTTTTGCCGAAGAATGGTTACTTCGGGGTTTCGGCAGCTACAGGGGGGCTCGCCGACGATCACGACGTCATTCATTTCTTGACTAACAGTTTACATATACCGGGACAAGTACCAACTGTCAATGCAGGTAATTCAAGGTTACAATGTAAAGAGCGCTTTCAAATTTGAGGTTATAGTACCAGGCGAGGAGCAACAAAAACTGACACAGGAGTACCAAGACTACCAAAAGAAACTAGAGCAACAGAAAGCGGAGTACCGGAAGGAACACCCAGATGAGGTATTTTCGTGTTTGTAACTATAGCGACGTTAAGGTCAGTTTACACCTACTAATTCTAGAAAGAACCAGACATGGACGAGTGGTTCGAAACCGACAACCAGCGCGAATTGAGACAGATTTTCCAAGGCCAAAACAACATATTCCAAGTGGTGCGAGAGTTGAACGCCAAATTGGACGAAATCGTGGGTCGTCAAGAAAGAACTATGAGTTTGATTTCGCAAACGGCCGGTGGGGTGGCGCCACCGGCGGTTCCGGGTCAAGCGCCGCCGCCAATCGGTGACACGATCCGGCGCCACGAAGTGGACGCCGTCTTCAACAATCAAAAGCAAATTATTAACAGCCTTGGCGAGATTCGGTGAGTTGGCTGCAGCAGTGTTTTTGGTTTTATAAAGTTGCGCTTTCAGTCAGTTCGTTTTGGAACTAGTAACCCGCTCTGACACCATCATTAACAACCAAGCGAAGCAACCAACAGCGCAAGTACAGTCTGTTGGGTATGATACGCAATCCCTCATTTCTGAGATGAGGGACGGCTTGAACCACGTCAAACAAAACGTGGCCCAAGTGGCCCAAAAAATCGATCAAAGCCCGTCCGGGTGTCCCAGTGTGAGCTGCGTTTCGGTCACTTCGGTTTTAGTCATCGCTGTGGTGCAATTGTTGATAATTTTAGGTTACAACATATATAGGTGAGTGGGACTTGTAGGGTGGTTTGGTTGGTAATCGTGTGGTTTCAGAGACAACAAGGAAAATCAAGCTAAAAAATTTTACTAGAGCGGTTGTGAACGTGTGTGCGAAGTACAGTCCTGACGAGTAGTCAAAAAAAAATGTTATTGTCTTCCTTTGTTTCACTATTTATTGTACAGTTAAGAACAAGTGATAATTAGTTTTTTTATGTTGCCACTATCTCTCTCTTGAAAAGACGATTTGTTAAGTCAAACTCTAGATTCAATGTACATGTAAGATTGTATCTACTTTTTTACATTTTTTAGATGTTATTAATTAAATAAATAAAAGGATAAGAGATGATGGTGTCGTTACTGAAGTTGCGTCATGTTGTTGGACTTGTTGTTTTCGTGTGAAAGCGGCTTTATTTTTTTGTTTGGTTCGCAAGGCCGCCGCAGCGGCGCCACTGCGCTACCAAATTCGATTTTGACAGCTGGTCGATTGTTGTCATGGGGGACGCAATTGTGTTATTTTAAGCTTATCGGTGTTGTTTTTTCGAATATTTAGTGCCTGAAGTCGAACGTCAACCTTACAGTAGATAACGAACGCAATGTGAGTACCCGAAAACCCCCTACCGTTCCAACAATGTCCGACATCCTCCACCTCCTTATCGACTTCTTCCTAAACTTACTTGACGAGTTCCGCACCAACAAGATTAAATTATCAGTTTTTCATGACAAGATGAGCAGCACGCACCAGTACATGCAAAATTCGAGCTCGAAGAACTCCACGGTAGTAAGGTTAGGAGACATCGAACACTTGTCACAGCTGTCCGAGAATCTCTCGTCGTTGTGTCTGAGTCACGAATACTCGGACATCACGCTGATCGTCGAGGGGCAGAAGCTCTACGCCCACAAGGTAAAATTCGACTGTTTAGAGACGGTTAGTACGGCTTTCGTAGGTGATTTTAGCTGCACGTAGCGAATACTTTCGAGCACTGCTGTATGGGGGGCTGAAGGAGTCCAACCAGTCGGAAATCGTCCTGCCGGACGCCCCAGTCAAAGCCTTCAAGATCCTCCTCAAATATATTTACACGGGTTACATGTTTCTGATGACGTTGAAGGAAGACGTAATTTTGGACACTTTGGGCCTGGCGCATCAGTACGGCTTCCAGGATTTAGAAACAGCAATATCTGACATTCTAAAGCAATTACTTGCCTTACGGAACGTTTGTGCGATTCTGGACACTGCTCACTTGTACGGGTTGGAAAAACTAGTCGATGTTTGTCACGTGTTTCTAGACAGACATGCCTCGGAGATATTAACGCACGAATCTTTTCTACAGTTGTCGCAGGTAAACAACACGACTTCCTTTTATTCCGTTTTTTGTACGTGTACAGGGTGATTATGAAATTCTTCCATCTGTTAATTTTTTACTTCATGTTTTAAAAATATGCATGTAGTTAGTTGTAATAGGTAACGTGATAGCATCGGACATACTAATTTAGACGAAATTTGACGAAAAAACGAAAACATTGTTGAATTTCAGTTTAAGCCACCCTAGGGTATTTTAAATGTTGGCTAACCTTCTGTAAGTTACTAGAATTGACATTTTTGGGGTGACGTTCGAGACGAGCAAATTTTAACTTTCGCCGTTGACGTTGGGTTTTCAACCAATCAAATTGCGGTGGTGTGCAATGTCGCCAACTTGAAGGAAAAATCCCCTGAAGTAGGGGGGACATTTTTCTGGTTGACGGCACTAATTTCACGAAAATCAAATTTTGATAGAAATAATAAGGTCCACTAATATTAAGCCATTTAATCACCTGTTTACCGAAACCTTCAGATTTTAAATTACTTGAGAACATATTTCACATGATGTTCTCGTGGAAAAATTAGGATTTTATAATTAATCTCCGCCCCTCGGCTTACAACGAATAAAATAATCATCAGAATTGCGACAGGGCGGGTGGGCGTGGCTTATATTTTGCCTTTTTTTTTTCTTAACAGCCATTTTTTCACAACAAGAAACTTAAAACATGGTTAAAATTGCAATTTTTGCAAGGAAATACGGATTTTGCAAATATGGGGCGGAGCCTAATTGCAAAATCGATATTTCCTTACACAAATTTTCCATTTTGAACATATTTTAAGTTTCTTGTTGTAAAAAAAGTCTACACATATTAAAACAAAAAGGCAAAATGTAAGCCCGCCCACCCGCCCTATCTCAATTGTGATGATTTTTTTTATTGGTCGTGAATCAAGAGGGCGGAGTTTAACTACAAAATATTTATTTACAAGAAATTAAAAACATGTTTTTAAGTGTCGTGTTGTTCAAAGAATAATATGCATATTAAGAAAAAGAGGCAAAATATAAACCCCGCCCACCCACCCTATCTCAATTGTGATAATTTTTTTTATTCCTAGAAACCTAAAACACATTTAAAATGTCAAATTTTTGTAAGGAAACATGAATTTTGCAATTAGGGGGCTTAATCTTTGGCTTGTTTTTTCTTCATATACATAATATTCTTTGAATAACATGATACTCAAAAAAGTGTCTTGGTGTCATGGTAATTTCTTGTAGAGAAATAATAAGGATTTTGCAATAAATTCGGCTCATTACACTCTCGACTATTAAAAAAAAACTCATCACAATTGAGATTGGGTGGGTGGGCGGGGCTTATATTTTGCCTTTTTTCTTAATATAAGTAGTCGTCTTTTCTTACGAATCAAAAATTCATCACAATTGAGCTTGGAATCGATATGGGGGGGCTTAATTTTTGGCTTCTTTTTTTCTTAAGTATTCTTTGAACAACACAATACTCAAAAACATATTTTTTATTTATTGTAGGGAATTAAAGATTTTGCAATTAAACTCCGCCCCTCAGTTTACGACGAACAAAAAAATCATCAGAATTGAGGTAGGGTGGGTGGGCGGGGCTTATATATTGTTTTTTTCTTAATATACATTGCCATCTTTTCACAACAAGAAGCTTAAAAAATGGTTAAAATGCTATATTTTTGCAAGGAAATATGGATTTCCCAATTATGGGGCGGAACCTAATTGCAATAATTGATATTTCCTTATAGAAATTTTCCATTTTAAACATGTTTTAAGTTTAATGTGGTGAAAAAAAGTCTACATATATTGAAACAAAAAGGCAAAATGTAAGCCCGCCCACCCGCCCTGTCTCAATTGTGATGATTTTTTTTTATTCGCCGTGAATCAAGGGGGCGGAGCTTAACTGCAAAATACTTATTTATTTGCAAGAAATTAAAAACATGTTTTTGAGTGTCGTGTTTTTCAAAGAATAATATATTAAGAAAAAGAGGCAAAATATAAACCCCACCCACCCACCCTATCTCAATTGTGATGATTTTTTTTATTCTTAGAAACTTAAAACACGTTTAAAATGGTAAATTTTTGTAAGGAAATATGGATTTTAGAATTAGGCTCCGCCTTTCGGTCTGCCAACGAATGAAAACGTCATTACTATTTATATCAGGTCAGGTATGGGTGGGGCTTAGTCTTTGGCTTGTTTTTTCTTAATATACGTAGTATTCTTTCAACAATACAATACTCAAAAACATGTTTTTATTTCTTGTAGAGAAATAAGGATGTTGCAATTAAGCTCCACCCCTCGGCTCATCAGAATTGAGGTAGGGCGGGTGGGTGGGGCTTATATTTTGTCTTTTCTTTTCTTAATATGCATAGCCATCTTTTCACAACAAGAAACTTAAAACATGGTTTTTGAAAGTAAATATAGATTTTGCAATTTAAAAAAAAATAATCAAAAAAACAAAGTATTATAAAATCTGAAAGTTAAGAAAGTTATGAAAATAGAGAAAATAAAAACCCGAAACGAGAAACTGCAAATCGGAAAGTTGAAAAATTTCGCACTGAAAAACAAAGAAAAATTATAAAGTCACAACATTCAAAATAGAAAAATAGAAAAAATTAAAAAAATAAAAATCGAAACGAAAATTTGCAAATTATAAAATTGCTGAAATGAAGAATTAAAAAATCGAAAAAAGAAAAATTATAAAATCAAAACATTGAAAAATTAAAAAACTGAAGAAATAAAGAAAACAAAAAGGCTAAACGAAAAATTGCAAATCGAAAATTCGAAAAACTGAAAAAGTCAATTTTTTTTTTTAATTATAATCATTTCATATTTAAAATGAAAACCAGAAAAATTGAAAAAACGAAAAATTAAGAATCTGAAATTGATAAGAATTATAAAATCTGAACATGGAAAAATCGAAAAATTGTGGAAAAGAAAGAAAATAAAAACTCAAAACGAGAAATTGAAGTCTTAAAATTTAGAAAACAAAAAAATTAAAAAATCGAAAAATTGAAAACCGAAAAACTGCAAATTGGAAAATTGAAAATTCAAAAAACTGAAAATTTTCACACTGAAAAAAAGAAAAATTATAAAATCACAACATTCAAAAACCAAAAAATCGAAAAATTGAAAGATCGAATAAATGAAAAAAAAAAATCCAATAATTGAAAAATGAAAAAACTCGAAGATCGTAAAATTGAAAAAGTGAAAAATTAAAAATCTGAAATTGATAAATGAAAAACCTAAAAATTGTAAATAGAAAATCCAAACATTGCAAAATTTCACATTGAAAAAAGAAAAACTATAAAATCAGAACTTTGAAAAATAGGAAAATTGAAGAAATAAAAATAAAAAGCCGAAACGAAAAACTGAAAAATCTAAGAACTGAACCATCCAAAGGGTGTAAAATCGAAAAACTGAAAAATTTAAACATGAAAACTTGAAGAGTTGCATGTCGTTAAATTGAAGAAACAAAAAATTGAAAAAAATTGAAATTAAAAAAACGAAGAATTATAAAATCTGAACATCGAAAAATCGAAAAATTGTGGAAAAGAAAGAAAATAAAAACCCGAAACGAGAAACTGCGAATCGAAATTTTGAAAAAATGAAAAATCCGGAAACTGAAAAGTCTAAAATTTAGGAAAATTACGTATTATAAAATTCCAGAAATGAAGAATTGAAAATCGAAAAATCCAAACATTGAAAAATCGAAAAACTGAAGAAATAAAGAAAATAAAAAACCGAAACGAAAAATTGAAAAATTAAAAATCGAAAAATTGAAAGATCGAATAAATGACAAAAAAAAATTAAATCCAATAATTGAAAAATGGAAAAACTTCAAGATCGTAAAAATTGAAAAAGTGATTTTTTTTTAATTATAATTATTTTAATATTTAAAATGAAAACTAGCAAAATTGCAAATCAAAAATAAAAAAAAATAATAAAAAAATCTGAAATTGAAAAATTAAAAACCTAAAAATTGTAAATAGAAAATCCAAACATTGAAAAATAGAGAAATGAAGAAATAAAAATAAAAAGCCGAAACCAAAACACTGAAAAATCTAAAAGCTGAAACATCCAAAAGGTGTAAAATCGAAAAACTGAAAAATTTTAAAATGAAAACTTGAAGAGTTAAATTGAAGAAACAAAAAATTGAAATTAATAAAAAAACGGAGAATTATAAAATCTGAACATTGAAAAATCGAAAAATTGTGGAAAAGAATGAAAATAAAAACCCGAAACGAGAAACTGCAAATCGAAATTTAAAAAAAATGAAAAATTGCAGAATCGAGGAACTGAAAGGTCTAAAATTTAGAAAACAAAAAATTAAAAAATCGAAAAATTGAAAACCGAAAAACTGCAAATTGGAAAATTGAAAATTCAAAAAACTGAAAAATTTCGCACTGAAAAGAAGAAAAATTATAAAATCACAACATTCAAAAAGCCAAAAATCGAAAAAATAAAGAAAATTAAAAACCGAAACGAAAATTACGTATTATAAAATTGCAAAAATGAAGAATTGAAAAATCGAAAAATCCAAACATTGAAAAATGTCACATTGAAAAACCGAAAAACTGAAGAAATGAAGAAAATAAAAAACTGAAATGGAAAATTGAAAAATCTAAAAACTGAAACATCCGACAGGTGTAAACTCGAAAAACTGAAAAATTTAAAAATGAAAAGTTGAAGAATTAAATTGAAAAAACAAAAAATTGAAATTAAAAAAACGAAGAATTATAAAATCTGAACATTGAAAAATCGAAATTTTGAAAAAATGAAAAATTGAAAACCGAAAAACTGCAAATTGGAAAATTGAAAATTCAAAAAACTGAAAAATTTCACACTGAAAAGAAGAAAAATTATAAAATCACAACATTCAAAAACTCAAAAATCGAAAAAACAAAGGAAATAAAAAACCGTAACGAAAATTACGTATTATAAAATAGCAGAAATGAAGAATTGAAAAATCGAAAAATCCAAACATTGAAAAATGTCACATTGAAAAACCGAAAAACTGAAGAAATAAAGAAAATAAAAAACCGAAACGAAAAATTGAAAAATTAAAAATCGAAAATTGAAAGATCGAATAAATGAAAAAAAAATTTAAATCCAATAATTGAAAAATGGAAAAACTCTAGGACCGTAAAATTGAAAAAGTGAAAAATTTTTAAACATCGAAAAATCCAAATATTGAAAAAAGTCACATTGAAAAACCGAAAAACTGAAGAAATAATTGAAAAATGGAAAAAATCGTAAAATTGAAAACGTGAAATTTTTTTAAAATTATAATTATTTAAATATTTAAAATGAAAACTAGCAAAATTGCAAATCAAAAATGGAAAAAACAAATTAAAAAATCTGAAATTGAAAAATTGAAAAATCGAAAAACTGAAAAAAGAAATAAAAAAATAAAATACCGAAACGAAAAATTGCCAATTGAAAAATCCAAACGTTGCAAAATTTTACATTGAAAAAGAGAAAAATTATAAAATCAGGACATTCAAAAATCAAAAAATGAAGAAATGAAGACAATAAAAACCGTAGACAAATACGGATCTTGCAATTAAGCCCCGCCCCTCAATCTGACAACGAATGAAAAATTCACTACAATTGAGAATTGAGATCGGGGCGGGTATGTTTTTAATTTCTCGTAGAGAAATAAGGATTTTGCAGTCAAGCTCCGCCCCCTTGGCTCACGACGAATTAAAAAAAATCATTACAATTGAGACAGGGCGAGTGGGCGGGGCTACATTTTGCCGTTGTTTCTTAATACGTGTAGACTTATTTCGACAACAAGAAACTTAAAACATGGTAAATTTTTGTAGTAATCAACTTAAATCCTCCACTTTTCCTCAACGACCCCTTTAAATTCGGTAAAAGTTGAACATCAAAGTTATTATCAACGGTAGCTTGGCAACGGAGTGTATAAATGACAATTTTAAGCTCTAAAAGCAATGTCAAGTGTAGTATATATTAAACGGATACCCAACCACGGTGGGAGCTATTGCCTGTGTATTTATAAAAACCATATAGTTTAGAAAAAAATTGACTTGGAAGAATTTCGTGCTCCCATTCCTCCCCCCTAACCACGCCCCCTGCTTGCAGGCGTCGCTCGTCGAACTGCTCCAAAGAGACTCTTTCTTCGCCCCCGAAGTAGAGATTTTCCGCGGCGTTTGTAATTGGTGCAACGCCAACCATGACAAAGACGATCTCGTGATGAAGTGTGTAAGGTTACCATTAATGAGCGTTGCTGACTTACTTTCTGTCGTAAGGCCTGCCGGGTTGGTGAAACCGGACGCTCTTCTGGACGCGATCGCCGAAAGGACGAACGTCCGATCGAGTAGTTTACCGCATCGGGGCCAACTAAGTACGCAGCCGCCGCTTCCCTTGCTTACCCATAACATTTCGATTGTGTTTAGTTCTGGAGGAAAACGTGGCGTCGCCTCGAATGGGCTCGAAGGTCGTGGCCGGAGAACTCCTCGAATATTTACTCGACGGAGATTACTACACTTACGACATGGAGAAGGGATACACGAGGCACCCGATCAACGGACCGGGGGACCAAGGGATCATCATCAAGTTGGGGACTCCGAGTATCATTAATCATATCCGGATGTTGTTGTGGGACCGGGATTTGAGGTAGTTTGTGAGGAGGAGTGGGTTTGAGGTCACGTTTTTGGGTTTTAGGTCGTATTCGTACTACATTGAGGTATCCGTAGAGCAAAAAGACTGGGTGAGAGTCGTCGACTATAGTCACTGTTCGTGTAGGAGTTGGCAGTACTTGTATTTCGAGAATCGGGTTGTTCAGTTTATCAGGATAGTGGGGACGCATAACACGGTCAACAAGGTGAGTAGAACACACGTTTGTAGGAAAAATGATGTGTGCGTATGTTATAGAAGCCTAAACGCAGCTCGCCACGCTCACGTGTGCGTTGTAAGCAAGGGAAGTTGGAAGCTGAGTTGGCGTTGATTTAGAGTAGTGAACTGTTTTAAAGTAGACGGCATATGGTGTTTGTTTTCTGGGTATCAGAGCAGAAGAAAAGTTTGACAGGAAAAACGAGAAGAATACAGAAAATTTTGCTCTATCTTTACTGTTAGCTGAGTAAGGAGCCTAGCGTTTGAAACAAATGTATGGGTGGGTAGGTGGGACCTTTGTAGCTTGATTTTTATCGTTTTTCTTCTACTTTGAAGACCTTTATTGATGTTTGCACTGTTTCACGTTTTCGTTGTACCCGGCCTGATACCCGAAAAACTTCATGCTATGTTTATTTGTTGTCGTCACGTTTTTTCTTTGTTCAGTGTTTTCGATTTTTGAAGAGGAAGAACTCATTTTTGCTCGCGGTGGGTCGACTTAAGTCAACTAAGTAAGACATTTTTGGATTTTAGGGTTGGCAATATTTACTTTGCCTTAGAGTGTAGTAGTGCTGACTGAAATTTCGGTTAGAGTTACTTTGAAGCGGAAATAGTAGTATATAGTTCGTAGTCGTTGATAGTTTAGTTGGTGTGTAGTTGAAGATCACTCATGAAACTGTGAAATAGTACCGGTGTCAAACCCTGTAGTACACCACCATACAACGACGTAGACAATTTTGGTTCGCCCTTTCCACGCTTATTTACAACCGAAGAATGTAATTTTCTTTCCACTAGTACAGGTGACGTCACTTAATCATGGCCACCGAAAATGGCAGCTTTTTCACTTGCAGCGCCAACTGAGCTTCCACGATTTCGGCCCAGCAAACTTAAACCCACTTTCACTTTAGGTTTTCCATTTGGTCTCTTTCGAGGCTTGTTGCAAACCATCCATTCCCAAAATGGTGAACGACATAATATGTCCGAATTACAACGTAGCGACTTTGGATAAAAGCGCCGTGGTCATAGAGGGCGTTAGCCGCTCTAGGAACGCCCTCTTGAACGGCGACACCAAACACTACGATTGGGATTCGGGATATACGTGTCACCAGCTCGGCTCCGGAGCGATCCTGATCCAGCTAGGTAAGTACACTTACCCCAAACTGCTCGAAACTGAGTTTTGTCGGTTTTCGTACATCTCGTGAGATTAAGGGGGAACGCTAGACGAGAGACAAGTTTGAATTGGGCGCCATTTGTTGCCTTAAACGCAACCAGCAATTCTTCTTTAATTTAATACTCGAGATAATTATTATATTATTCAAAATTTAGACACTGTAGAGCAAACAAGGCTTATCAAGCCCGTCTATTAGTTTATTTGCCTGTATTATTGATACCGTTTTCAAATTACACCAAAATTGAAAAATCGAAAACTTAATAATTGAAAAATTTATAAATCGATAAACTGAACAATCTAAAAATTAAACAATTTAAAAATCGAAGAATTGGAAAACCTAAAAATCTAAACCGAGAACTTGAAAAATCGAATAATCGAGAAATCAAAACATCAAGGAAAACAAAAAAATTAACAGAAAATCTAGAACCTAAAAATTGAAAAATTAAAATATCTATCGAAAAATTGAAAAACGGAGAAATCGAAACATCAAAAAATGGAAAAATTGAAGAACCGAAACATTGCAAAATCCCAGAACTGAAATACTGAAAAACTGAAAAATGGAAGGAAAATTGAAAAATGGAAAGAAAATTGAAGAATCGGAAAAGTGAAAAAATCCAAAACTGAAACATTGAAAAATTCAGAAATCGAAAAATTGAAAAATCACAATTGAAGAAAGAAATATTGAAAAATCTAAAAATTGGACACTGAAAAATTGAAAAATTTTAAAGCTTTATGACTGAAAAATGGAAAAATCACAAATTTTAACAATCGAAAAAACTTGAAAAATCAAAAAATCGAGAACTCGAAAAGTCGAAAAACCCAAAAAATCGATTAATAATAATCTAGAAATCGAAATAGCTCAAAATTGAAAAATTAAAAACTGAAACATTGAAAAAATCTAAAAATTGGAAAATTTTTAAGCTTCATGACTGAAAATTGGAAAAATCACAAATTTTAACAATCGAAAACTTGAAAAATCAAAAAATCATAACTCGAAAAGTCGAAAAACCCAAAAAATCGAAAATTTAGAAACGTCAAAAAATGATAAATAAAAAAATTTTAAAATCGAATCATTGGAGAATCGACGAATTGAAATATCCCAAAATTGAAAAATCGAAAAATTGAAGAATCGAAGAACTGAGAAACCGCTGAATTGAAAAATTCCGAAATAGAAATGACGAAAAATTGGGACATCGAAAAACTGATATAAAACTGAAAAACTAAAACATCGAGAAACAACACAGAGATTGAGGAATCGAGAATTCGAAAAGCCGAGAAATCAAAAAATCGAAAAATTTAGAAATCGAAATAGCCCAAAATTGGAAAATTGAAAACTAAAATATTGAAAAATCATAAAATTGGAAGTTGAAAAACTGAAAAATCGAAAAACTGCATTTAGGTAAAAGTTTAGTAACAATCAAAAAATTGAAAAACCGAAAAATTAAAGAACTTGAAAAATGAAAAAATCGAGAACTCGAAAAGTCGAAAAACCCAAAAAATCGAAAATTTAGAAACGTCAAAAATTGAAAAATCGGAAAATTTGATCCAAAAACTGAAAAATCGCGAAATTGAAAAATGACGAAAAATTGGGAAATCCAAAAATTGCTAAAACATCGAGAAACGACATACTGAACATCAAGAAATCGAGAATTCAAAAAGTCTAGAAATCAAAAAATCGAAAAATTTATAAATCGCAACAGTCCATAATTGAAAAATTAAAAACTGAAACATTGAAAAATCGAAAAATTAGACAGTTGAAAACCGGAAAAATCGAAAAACCGAAAAATTTAAAACTTTAATAATTGAAAAATGGAAAAATCACAAATTTTAACAATCGAAAAATTGAAAAACCGGAAAATCAAAAAATCGAGAGCTCGAAAAGTCGAAAAACCCAGAAAGTCGATTATTCCAGAAATTGAGAAACCGAGAAATCAAAAATCCAGAAACGTCAAAAACTGAAAAATCAAAAATTTGTAAAATCGAAAAATTGGAAAATCGACAAATTGAAATATCCCCAAATTGAAAAATTCAAGAATAAAAAAAACTGAAAAATCCCAAAATCTAAAAATTAAAAATCGAAATATGTATTAAAAAAATCTAAAATCCGAAAAATCGGAAAATTGAAACCAAAAACTGAAAAATCGCCAAATTGAAAAACGACGAAAATTTGGGAAATCCAAAAATTGAAAAATTGGAATATAAAATATTGAAAAATCGAAAAATTGGGCAGTTGAAAACCTGAAAAATGAAAAACCGAAAAATTTGTAAGGTTAATAACTGAAAAATGGAAAAATCGCACTTAAAAAATAAAAAAATCGAGAACTCGAAAAGTCGAAAAACCCAGAAAATCAATTAATCCAGAAACTGAGAAGACGAAAAATCGAAAATTTAGAAACGCCAAAAATTAAAAAATCAAAAAAATTTAAAATCTACGATATTAAAAAATTAAAAAATTGAAGAATAAAAAACTAAAAAATCCGAAAATCAAAAAATCAAAAATTGAAGTATGTATAAAAAAAATCTAAAAATTGAAAAATCGGAAAAATGAAGAATCGAAAAACTGAGAAATCGCAAATTGAAAAATTCCGAAAAAGAAATGACGAAAGATTGGGAAATCGAAAAATTAACAAATTGAAGAACCAAGACATCGAGAAACGACACATCAAAAGATCGAGAAATCAAAAAATCGGAAAATTTAGAAATTGAAATACATATTTGCCTTTTTTTCTATTCTTGTAAAGAAATAAATATTTTGCAGTTAAACTCCGCCCCTTTGGTTCAGGCCGAATAAAAAAAGATCATCACAATGGAGATAGGATGGGTGGGCGGGCTTATATTTTGTCTTTTTTTGAATATGTGTAGACTCCTTTTCACAACATGAAACTTTAAAACATGTTTAAAAATGTACCATTTTAATCATGTTCTAAGTTTCTTATTATGAAAACATGGCCATGTATATTAAGAAAAAAAAGACAAAATATAAGAAATAGAGCAGTGGTTCGCAAACTGGGTGCCGCGACACACTGGGGTGCCGCGGAACCCCCAAGAGGGTGCCGTGAAAATTTTATAATGATTTTAATAAATATAACCACAAAACCAACTTTAAAAAATAATAATTGATGATCTGATTTTACTAATATGGTACAACTGTTCAGTAATGGAAAATGTGTTCTGAACATGTTAATTTTCTTTATACTGAAGTAAGATGGCTATCTAAAGGCCGTGTTCTTTCCCGATTTTGAAAATTAAGAAAACAAATATAAACGTTTTTTGAATCAGAAAATATTGAACAATTTTTTGACCTCCTTCAAGACCACGTTTGGTGTACAAAACTAGCATATTTAACTAATATTTTTGAACAGTTAAATAAAATATGTAAATTCAAGTATGCAAGGTAGAAATGAAAAAATAAAATTTTGGCTTTAAAAGACAAGCTTAAATTATGGAAAACAAATATTTATAAAACAATCTTAACATCAATTACATATTATACAATCACGTGATAAAGTGTTTTTGATAATAAATTAGTTACAATTAAAACTGTTCTTGGCGGGGTGCCGCCAAATTTTGTTTAATATTTTAGGGTGCCATCAATAATAAAAGTTTGCGAACCACTGAAATAGAGAAATGGGAAAATCAAAAAATCAGTTAATCGAAAAATTGAAAAATCGAAAAATTTAGAAACGTCAAAAATTGAAAACTGAAAAATCAAAAATTTAAAAATCGTAAAACTGAAATATCGGAAAATTGAGTAATCGAAAAATGAAGAAATTCGAGAAACCGAAAATATGAAGAATCGAGAAATCGAAGAATCGATAAATTGAAAAATTCCAATAGTAATACGTCGAAAAATTGAGAAATGGAAATCGAGCAAAACTGAAGTATCGTAAAGTTAATAAATTGAAAAAGTGAAAATTTTTGAAAAAAAAAATCGTATCAAAAACTAAAAAATCGAGAAATTGAACAATCAAAAAATCAAAACATTGAAATCCCAATAAGTTGATAAATAGGACAATTTCAAAAACGAAAATTTTAAAAATCCAAGAATTGAACAACAAAAAAAATCTAAGCCTGAAAACCCAGAAAATCGAATGATCGAGAACTCAAAACATCAAAAAAAAAAAAAAAAAAATCCAAAATTTAAAAATTCGACAAATTGAAAAATCATGGAACTGAAAAATCGAAAAGTCGAGATAGTGAGAAATCTAAAAGGCTAAAACTTTAAAAACTGAAAAATTAAAATATCGAAAAATTTAAAAACCGAGAAAACACAATATCAAAAATTTGAAAAATTGAAGAAACGAAATATTGCAAAATTCCAAAGCTGAAATATTGAAAAACCTAAAAATGGAAGGAAAATTAAAGAATCGAAACAGTGAAAAAATCCCAAACTGAAACATTGAAAAATCCAGAAATCGTAAAATTGAAAAATCACAATTGAAGAAAGAATTGAAAAATCAAGAAATAGAGAAATGGGAAAATCAAAAAATCAGTTAATCGAAAAATTGAAAAATCGAAAAATTTAGAAACGTCAAAAATTAAAAACTGAAAAAAAAAATGAAAATCGTAAAACTGAAATATCGTGAAGTTAATAAATTGGGAAACTGAAAATTTTTGAAAAAAAAATCGTAAAATTGAAAAATCACAATTGAAGAAAGAATTGAAAAATCAAGAAATAGAGAAATGGGAAAATCAAAAAATCAGTTAATCGAAAAATTGAAAAATCGAAAAATTTAGAAACGTCAAAAACTAAAAATTGAAAAATAAAAAAAAATTAAAATCGTAAAACTGAAATATCGTGAAGTTAATAAATTGAAAAACTGAAAATTTTTGAAAAAAAAAATCATCAAAAACTAAAAATTCAAAAAATCGAGAAATTGAACAATCAAAATATCAAATCATTGAAATCCCAGTAAGTTGATAAATAGGAAAATTTAAAAAACAAAAATTTTAAAAATCCAAGAATTGAACAACAAAAAAAATCTAAGGCTGAAAACTCAGAAAATTGAATGATCGAGAACAAAAAATCTAAAATTTAAAAATTCGACAAACTGAAAAATCATGGAACTGAAAAATCGAAAAGTCGAGATAGTGAGAAATCTAAAAACCTAAATACTGAAAAACTGAAAAATGGAACGAAAATTGAAAAATCGAAAAAGTGAAAAAATTCAAAACTGAAAAATGGAAAGAAAATTGAAGAATCGGAAAAGTGAAAAAATCCAAAACTGAAACATTGAGAAATCCAGAAATCGTAAAATTGAAAAATCACAATTGAAGAAAGAATTGAAAAATCAAGAAATAGAGAAATGGGAAAATCAAAAAATCAGTTAATCGAAAAATTGAAAAATCGAAAAATTTAGAAACGTCAAAAATTAAAAACTGAAAAATAAAAAAAATTAAAATCGTAAAACTGAAATATCGTGAAGTTAATAAATTGAAAAACTGAAAATTTTTGAAAAAAAAAATCGTATCAAAAACTAAAAATTCAAAAAATCGAGAAATTGAACAATCAAAAAATCAAATCATTGAAATCCCAGTAAGTTGACAAATAGGAAAATTTAAAAAACAAAAATTTTTAAAATCCAAGAATTGAACAACAAAAAAAATCTAAGCCTGAAAACTCAGAAAATCGAATGATCGAGAACTCAAAACATCAAAGAAAACAAAAAATCTAAAATTTAAAAATTCGACAAATTGAAAAATCATCCAACTGAAAAATCGAAAAGTCGAGATAGTGAGAAATCTAAAAGCCTAAAACTTTAAAAACTGAAAAATTAAAATATCGAAAAATGTAAAAACCGAGAAAACACAATATCAAAAATTTGAAAAATTGAAGGAACGAAATATTGCAAAATTCCAAAGCTGAAATATTGAAAAACCTAAAAATGGAAGGAAAATTAAAGAATCGAAACAGTGAAAAAATCCCAAACTGAAACATTGAACAATTGAAAATCGAATAAATGATGATCCAATAATTGAAAAATCGGTCGAAAGTTGGTTCAACAGAACTTTCTTCGTTCCTGAAGTAGCATGAAATACAAAAAACAAACACCCAATCAGATTTAGGAATTTAACCCGTTACTATGGAAATTTAACAAGATTTTACAAGATTAATATAGAGGGAAAATCAGTCTTATCTTAGAAAGTACTAGCCCCGCCCACCCACCCGCTATTTTTTCAGAGGATTATGTCATTTGCCAAAATAAGTCTTATCTTAGCAAGTACTAGCCCCGCCCACCCGCCCGCTGTTTCCTAGGGGATTATGTCATTTGCCAAAATAAGTCTTATCTCAGCAAGTACTAGCCCCGCCCACCCACCCGCTGTTTTTTCAGAGGATTATGTCAATTGCCAAAATAAATCTTATCTTAGCATGTACTAGCCCCGCCCACCCGCCCGCTGTTTTCTCAAGGGATTATGTCATTTGCCAAAATAAGTCTTATCTCAGCAAGTACTAGGCTCGCCCACCCGCCCCTATTTTCTCAGATGATATGTCATTTGCCAAAATGCTAGTATTTGCTAAGATACGACTGATTTTGGCAAATGACAATCCTCTGAGAAAATAGCGGCTGGGTGGGCGGGGTTAATACTTGCCAAGACAAAACTGATTTTGGCAAAGGCCATATCCTCTAAGAAAATTGAGGGCGGGTGGGCGGGGTCAGTTCTTGCTAACATAAGACTAATTTTGGCAAATTACATGATCCCCTGAGAAAATAGCGGGTGGGTGGGCGGGGCTAGTACTTGCTAAGAAAAAACTGATTTTGGCAAATCAGATGATCCTCTGAGACAACAGCGGGTGGGTGGGCGGGGTTAGTCCTGTCTAAGATAAGACTAATTTTGGCAAATGACATAATCCTCTGAGAAAACGACGGGTGGGTGGGCGGGACTAGTCCTTGCTAAGATAAGACTAACTTTGGCAAATGACATATCCTTTGAGAAAATAGGGGGCATATCTAAAAAATATCAAAGCAATGATAAATCGCAAGTAAAAACTCGTCATATTTTGCACGTTTTGGGTAGAATTTATTCCGCAAAATTTTGAGATGACGTTATCAATTTCGTCGGGGAATAAACAGATATATTTGGTTACATGCTTACAATAACTTTAAAACACCTGCAAGATTTGAAAGTATGTATTCATTTTTGCAGTTCTTGATCTAATCAATATGATATATTGACTCAGTCATTAATTTTTTTGACACACCTCGTATAAGCAAATCTAAAAAATATTAATGTAGCGATAAATCATAAGTACATATAGAATCATCATATTTTGCTCATTTAAGATAGGAGTTATTCAGCAAAATTTTGAGGTGACGTCATCAATTTTTTAGAGGGGATGAGTAAATATATTGTGATTAAAACGGCCCTGGTTTAATAACAAAAAAATATTGTTCGTCTATAAAACAAGCTCGTAAAAAAATATGTCGTAAAAAAATTTACGTATGCTGGTCCCGACTGCGATTATGGTTTAAATATTTTTTAGAAAATCCTGTCATGGATGTAGAATAGAAACATTTGTGACAGAATCATGATGACTACTTTCAAGTCCAGGGACAAATGCTTGTTACGGGTATTTCACAAGTTTATTTTGTTGTATGGACACTCAATGGAATAAATATAGAAATAATTGATTCAAGAAGAAAGAGGAACCTGCCTTTGCGAGAGATTTTTTTAAAATAAATAAAATTTGTTTCTATTTTTTTATGTACTTTAATAATTTATTAGGAGTACATTTTTCATCACCAAGACTTGCATATTTTTATTATAAATATATTTTGAAAATGATCTCTCGGCAAATGAAAACATATACGAGCACTTTTTTCGAGTAAACAATGAAGGGAGAAGTTACTGGGCGTAGGGCTTTTTTAAAACACCTCCTTTCTGGGATAAGTAGTAGATACACTTAGCTACTTATACGTGTTAAACAAAAGCTGTATTTTATATATTTTTTATTATTATAAATATGTTTATTAGTTTTAATAATTAAGAAAGCAAAATATATATTAACAATAATATTACAATGAATTTTAGTAATCATGTGTATTGAATTCAGGATCCTGAGTGGAGTAAAAATATTATAGTTCCCCAGTTTTAATTCGGTTTTATGATAGTACCTCATTGCGTAAAAGTTAATTTTGAGTTCCTTGCCATAAATTAGAAAAATCAGCCGAGAACTCTAACAATCAGCTTATGGTAAAGCAGGCGATAAGCGTTTTACCTGAAAGTCGCTTCCGTAAATTTTAGTGGCGCTCCTATCGGCAAAGTACTGAACTAACTGCTCAAACTCTGTCGAATTGATACCCATTTTTTTCAATAACTGTTAGTTTTGGTTAAAAACCCCGCTAACCAATAGATCGTTAATTTTCCTCTGATATTCCTGTTAAAATTATTCGACGTATTTTGCATTAATTTGTGGTATATTTTGATTTTAATAAACACATTATTATTTAAACAAATTGTACCACTAACAAACATTTAATGATTCTGCGCCCTGTAAAAAGTGATGTTTTATCCATGTGCGAATTTTCAAGCGATTTTATGATGGTTATGACTCAAAAAACTTGAAAAGAAAACATAAAATGGTGCTTTTTACGATATTTCTCAGCCATATTTTTTTAGTTGATTGAACTGGTCTCTGCGCCCTAGAATATGAAAAAAGCTGCAGTTTGATGTAGACACATCTATATTAATAACCAAAAAAATGTTATACCTCGTCTAGCGAGTCCCTTAATTTGATGTTGGTGCAAACCTTCCTATACGCTTTTCTCCAGGTCAGCCGTACGTCATCTCCAGCCTGCGCCTGCTGCTCTGGGACTGCGACGACCGCACCTACAGCTACTACATCGAGTCGTCGGTGAACGTGTGGGACTGGGAGATGGTGGTGGACTACACTCGGGAGGACTGCAGGTCCTGGCAGGTGGTGCGGTTCCCGCCGCGGCCGGTGGTGTTCATCCGCATCGTGGGCACGCGGAACTCCGCCAACGAGGTGTTCCACTGCGTGCACTTCGAGTGCCCGTCGTGCGAGGAGCAGGGGTCGGGCGGCGGCGCGAAGCCGTCGAGCTCGGCGAGCAAAACCGCCACCCCCGAGAAGGACGTGAGCATGCAGACGGCCGAGATCGCCACCGAGGCCGAGGAGATGCTCTCGGACGACGACAAAGTCTGAGGCAAGGGGTTGCGCCACTTTTTTATCAACTTGTTTTTGTACATTTCGTTTACAATAATGATTGGTTCGAGTTTTTATTTTATATTGTTTATGTTTTTCGTGTTTTTATAAGGATTAACAAACTAACGGGGATACTGATATTGGCGAGATGTGATATAGTACCTTGTCATTATTGTGGTTGCGTTTGTTTGAGGTTCTCGTGGGCGGAATACTTGTGATATTGTTGGGAGAATGTTGCGTTTTCAAAGGTAGCAATAATTTATCGAAAATGACTATGTAGAAGTAGGAGTTTTAACGGTGTGAACATGGAGATGTTGCATGTGTTAAGAGGAGCAACTGGATACTTGCAGAAGATTGATTATGTAACTGGTGATATGTTTGAATTTTGTATATTATATTGTTACAAGAAATGTGGTATATTTTCCTCTCATGACACGTATTTCCTAATAAACTAATACGCTGCAGCTGTCTTTATCTTTTCCCTATAGCGCCGACGACGTTTTTCGTTCGAAAATGCGATACCGCGATACGGTTTTATTTGATGTGGAATTTCGCCAGAAACGTTATTCTGTGAATGGTAACTACAGATAAGAGCTTGACATTAACCTTGAACAAAATTTAATTTGTGATGTTAAATGTTTTAGTGCTCGTAAAACCACTGTTTGACATTAAAACTTTCGGTACTTGAAACAGTTCCAGTAACAATAATTGTTAGTGTAAACATTGAGTGACGACTTAACTATATTTTGCCTGCGATAAGTTTTATCTGATTTGTGCGGATTATTTGCATACTTTTGTTTCGTTTTCAAGTCTTTTGACGATGAAAGATGAAAGGAGTCGCCGCATGAATCAGTTCTGTATTCAGGATATGTCAAAGTTGAAGGCGATCAGTCGAGAGATTTATCGTACCTTCGACGAACGCATATAAACACATTTTCCTTCTACGCTGCATTCGATTCATTTTTTTTTTTTTTTTTTTATATGAATACAATTTTGATTTTTTTTTGGGTTCAAAATTGTATCTTTGCTTTCATTTTGTTTTCCAATTTAAAAAGTTAATTTTTTTGAGATCAAAAGTAATTAAAAATGCGATTCTAAAACGTTAAACTTTGATACAATTGACATTTTGACATCTGTTGTGAACTTCTAAAAATTTTGACCATGATAAAATAAAAAGAAAACACTTCAATGTCAAAATTGACCTGTTAAAAATGATAAATCACCTTATAATAAATTAAAAAATAAAACGATGAAACATACGATTTTAATTACTAATAATTTGTAGCTTTTTTTTGATGTCATACTTAAATTTAATTTTATAGGACTGCATACATGTGTGATTCATGAATCCGTGTCGCGTTTTCACCCTACACATCCAGATTTTTGGACAAAAAAACAAAATTGTGTAACATTTTACGATTTAACTTTGAAATTGTAATACCAAATGCTTTAAAAACTTACAAGTTTTTTAAGATTATCGTAAGCATGGTAAATGGTTAATCAAAATTTTTTCGTTTATAGTCCCCTAAAAATGATGACGTTACTTTATAATTTTGTAGAACAAATGTTTCTTAAATTTAATGTAACTACATACTCCATGTATGTGTAATTTATGAATCCATGTTGAGTTTTTACCCTTTGGATGCAGATTTTTGGAAAAAAATCAACATTGTATAAGAATAATTTACAATGCTGTGAAATCGTGCAAATATTTTAAGATTATTTGAATTATGGTAAATGGTTAGTCAAAATTTGTCCGTGATCTTACATTTTTGCCTAATTTCTTCAAATTTATGAGTGTTTTAGGGGAAAAACTGAGTAGGAATTAATCAATCAGTCCTTTCCTATGCGTTGAGGACACAAAATCAACCAAATTTAATTTTCTTCTAATCGCTGATGTTTGTGCTAGTAATAGAATTCGGTCGAAGTATAAACATAAACAGTTGAAGTTACGCATATACTGACAAATTGAAATTGTCTACATTTTTCCCCTCAGTTATCTGCTTTAACCTATCTAAAATGTGCAAAATATAATCAAATCTATACTTGTAATTTATCGTTACATTCATATTTTTTCGATTTGCCCTCTATTTTGTCAGAGGATATGTCATTTGCCAAAATTAGTCTTATCTTAGCAAGGACTAACCCCGCCCACCCGCCCTCAGTTTTCTTAGAGGATATGACCTTTGCCAAAATCAGTTTTATCTTAGCAAGTAGTAGCCCCGCCCACCCACCCGCTATTTGCTCAGACGATTATGTCAATTACCAATTTTTCGATTTATTCGCTTTTTCTTCTTGCCATTTTTTTTAAGTCTCGGTCTTTAGTTCTTCAGTGTTTCGATTTTCCGCTTTTTGGATTTTTAATTTTTCGCCTTTTCAGTTTTACAGTTTTAGAATTTTTCCATTTTTCAATTATTGGATAATCATTTATTCGATTTTTCAATAATTTTTCGATGTTTCAGTGTCACAAACTTTACAATTTTGGCGAAAAAAAAATGAAAAATTGAAATATTAAAAAACTACAATAAATATATGTACTAAGAAAAAGAAGCCAAATATTATGCCCTACCCACCTGTCCCCAACTCTTGTGATCAGTTTTTTTATTCGTCGTGAGACGAGGGGCGGGGCTTAATTACGAAGTCCGTATTTCTGGACAAGAAATTACCAAGTGACAAAATGTTTAACATATGATCGTATTGTTGAGAATAGACTCTTTCGAAAAAAAAAGGGAATAAATGCTTATTTTCTCAAAAGTACAAGGAGATTTCGAAAAGGAAAGAAGAAAACAAGTGTACGTAATCGGCAGATCTGGCAACCCTGGTGACTTTTCACACGGTAATTTCTTGTAAAGAAATAGCGATTTTGCAATTAAGCTCCGCCCCCCAGCTGACGTCGAATAAAAAAATTCATCACAATTGAGATAGGCGTGGGTGGGAGGGGCTTAATCATCGACTTGTGTTTCTTAATCTATAGACTATATAGTTTACTTTCAACAACATAAAACTTAAAACATAATTCGAATCTTGAATTTACCATTTGATATTTTAAGTATTTTATTATCGAGATGAATAAGCCCCACCCACCCGCCCGATCTTAATTGTAATGAATTTTTTTTATTCGTCGTGAGACCAAGGGGTGGAGCTTAACCGCAAAGTCCATATTTCTGTACTATAAATTACGGAGTGAAATATGTTTGAAGCACTATCATATTGTTGAAAATTGACTATTTTGAGAAAAAATAGTAAATAAATATTCTTATTTTCTCAAAAGTGCAACGAGATATCGAAAAGGAAAGAAAAAAACTACTGTACGTAATGGTAGATCTGGCAACCCTGGTGACTTTTCTCATGGTAATTTCTTGTAAAGAAGGTGATGATTTTTTTTATTCGTCCTCCAATTCACCATTTGATATTTTAAGTATTTTTTTATTGAAATGGATAAGCCCCACCCACCCGCCCTGTCTCAATTGTAATGAATTTTTTTATTCATCGTGAGACCGAGGGGTGGAGCTTAACCGCAAAGTCCATATTTCTGTACAAAAAATTACGGAGTGAAGAATGTTTGAAGCACCATCGTATTGTTGAAAATAGACCATTTTGAGAAAAATAGGAAATAAATATTCTTATTTTCTCAAAAGTACAACGAGATATCGAAAAGGAAAGAAAAAGCAACTGTACGTAATGGTAGATCTGGCAACCCTGGTGACTTTTCACATGATAATTTCTTGTAAAGAAATAGAGATTTTCCAATTAAGCTCCGCCCCGCAGCTGACGACGAATAAAAAAATGTATTACGACTGAGACAGGGGTGGGTGGGTGGGGCTTATATTTTACTTTTTTTTTCTTAATATGCATGGTCATCTTTTCACAACAAGAAACTTAAAACATCTTAGAAATGGTAAATTTTTCTAAAAAAATGTGGATTTTGTAATTAAGCTTCGTCCTTCGAAGTGACAAATGAAAAATTCACCACAATTGAGCGAGGGGCGGGTGGGTGGGGCTTAATCATTGACTTATTTTTCTTAATCTGTAGAGTTTAGTTTCAACAACGTAATACTTACAACATAATTCTAACCTCCAATTCACCATAAGTATTTATTATTAAAATGGATAAGCCCCACCCACCCACCCCATCTCAATTGCGATGAATTTTTTTATTCGTCGTGAGACCGAGGGGTGGAGCTTAACCGCAAAGTCCATAATTCTGTACAAAAAATTATGGAGTGAAATATGTTTGAAGCATTATCGTATTATTGAAAATAGACAATTTTGAGAAAAAATAGGGAATAAATATGCTTATTTTCTCAAAAGAACGAGATATCCAAAAGGAAAAAAAAACTACTGTACCTACGTAATGGTAGATCTGGCAACCCTGGTGATTTTTCGCATGATAATTCCTTGTAAAGAAATAGAGATTTTGCAATTAAGCTCCGCCCCACCAGCTGCCGACGAATAAAAAAATTCATCACATCTTAGATAGGGCGGGTGGGTGGGGCTTATATTTTACCTTTTTTTTAATGTGTTGTCATCTTCTCACAACACGAAAGTTAAAACATCTTCGAAATGGTAAATTTTTCTAAAGAAATGTGGCTTTTGTAATTAAGCTCCGTCCTTCGAAGTGACAAATGAAAAATTCATCACAATTGAGACAGGGGTGGGTGGGCGGGGCTTAATCATTGGCTTCTTTTTCTTAATCTATAGAATTTACTACTTTCAACAACATAATAATTCTAATCTCCAATTCACCATTTGATATTTTAAGTATTTTATTATTGAAATATATAAGCCCCACCCACCCGCCCTGTCTCAATTGTAATGAATTTTTTTATTCGTCGTGAGACCGAGGGGTGGAGCTTAAGGCCAGTCCCCACGTTTTCTCAGCGGAATTTTCGCTCTATTTTCAAAATGTAATATCTCCGTTATTAACAGATCTATAGTTTTCAAATTTTAAATATATGTTGTCCGTAACTTTCTTTATATAACGCAAGGGCAATTTTGTTAAAAACAGCTTGTGATCATATTATTTTTTTAATTTTAGTGAAATTTTTGTATAACGTATTTTTAAAAATCAATATTTCAGTTATTTATGGAAATTTTGGAACGGGGTTGTCACCACTGTTTTCAGCTTGCAAAACTTGAGAAATTCTACGAGGTCGATTTTTGACTTTATTTGTTGGGACTGAGATATAGTAAAAATAAAAGTTAGCAACTTCCATGATATACGCTTTTTTTAACTGTGTATCGTTTCTAAAAAATAAAATCGACGATATGTCTCGTATGATTTCTGGAGTTTTGTAAGCTGAAAACAGTGTTGAAAACCGTGTTCTGAAATTTTATTTAATAATTGAGATATTGATTTTTAAAAATACGTTATGCAAAAATTTCACTAAAATTAAAAAAATAATATGATCACAAGCTGTTTTTAACAAAATTGCCCTTGCGTTATATAAAGAAAGTTCATCAT